CGACATTTTGTTTTACCTCAAAGTTGTGCTGTGGTTTGACTGCTCACCTTTTAACTGGCTATTGGAAACGTTTATTTACTGGTTTGATTCTGTTAAATAGAGTTTTTGATCCCCTTTTTGTCGCGAATATTCTTATCGATTCTCAAGTACTTAACAATTGTATTTGGTTAACCAACTTCTATTGGGTAGTACGTATTTGTTCCCGAGGACGTTTGAACTTTATAGTTGCTCGACAGCACTGTTGATGTGTTTTCATAATTCTGGTATAGCTTATTGTTGCGTTGGCAGTACTACAGATTTGTTATGAGTGTATCACCGATTTACTACAAGTCGTGTTTTCAATATTGTTGATCCAATCTTTGACTTTGCGTCACTCACGAAAGTTCGGAAACTATACAGTAGAACGCAGAAACTTGTCCGAATCGCGTTAGTTTGGTACTGCCTAGTTGTTTCCTGCGTTCGGACCAAAATAATTGGGTTTTGGTCCTTACACTTACTACACAGCGATTGTCTGAGATGGATGATGAGGTCGCTGCAAACAGCCTTAGCTGTCTTGGTAGTCTTAATGAAAAAGGTCTCACTAAATTTCTTCTCGACTTTGCTTTCCTGTCAACGATATGACAAAAATTTATCGTGACAATGTGAAATAGTCGCAGCTTTTGGTGAATATAGAATCTGACAGGTCGCAACTGCTTCTAAACCACACAGTCGTGTGTGCGGACAGCCGCTTTTATTGTTCGATATTATAAGTGCATTTTTCTCCTGGGTTTCGGTTGCTAGCTTGTAGGTCGGCAATGCTGCACTCGATAGCGACCTATATCGCGGAGCATCTTTCTGCAAAAAGTTAGATGCAGAACACCAACTAACTTTTACTGCATGGAATATCGTACAATAGAGTGGTAAAAAATTAATGCTCCTAGTGACCCTGGATGCATACAACGGACTAATCAAATACAACAACGTTAATCGCAACTCAAAACAACATCTGAACCAAACACAGCGGGTAGAAATGATAAGGAAATTAGCAGCAGCCATCAATATAAGCATCAGCGACCAAATCCTTCCAAACAATACGGAAATCACCGTTCCAAAACTAGTAGGGTTGATCAGCCTGTCTCACAACCTATTTACAAACTGATGGGAAGATTTAAGAACAAACTAAAGAGACAGCTATGGGATCACCAATATCAGGATTGGTTGCTGGAACACTGAGACGGCTGCTGAAATCAATAGTAATCTCTCTTACCAAGCCAAAAGCACGAGCCCAGTACGATGACGACACACCCGTAATTTCGAAGAAAGATGAGAAAACAAACTAATTAACCAAACATCTGAAGGAATTTACTACTCAAAAGTGAAGGAAGTTGACGATGGGATTCTACTCTTAGTTTTCTGCGTCTGCAGAACCCACGACGGGAATTTGCAAACTTGGGTGTGCAGGATAACAACACGGGTCGAATTTTTTAGCTACACCAGCAATCATTCTACAGTCCAAAAGTAATGTAGTGTAATAACAATATTCTTAAGAGCAGAAACAAGTTACAGCATAGAAAGCTACGAAAGGAGAGAGCAAACATGTGTGCGAAGTGTTCAAATTCAGCGATTATCCCCGCAAGTTTGTCATAAATATTTATCAGCAGAGGAGGGAGCAGCACAATCACTACGAATCGACAAGCGCGTTGCTGTACGGTACATTAAGGATTTCTCAGAAACGGTAAACAGATTGCTTCGTCTGTTAGAGATTAGAATGTTATATAAACCAGCGAAATTACTACATATACAATACTGCTGTTCACTTGATGCCATTTGACATGCTGAAAATTCTGTAGTGTTCCCGAAATATCTTTAAAAATAAGGCAACTATTATCATTAAAAAGACAAATATAATGTACAAAATCAACTGCAAAGATTGTTCACAATACTACATTGCCCAGCCTAGCCGTGAAATCGCACAAAGAATTAATGAAAACCAAATGCCGGTGGGGAGAAATGCTGCGACTCCCTTGGTTTCAGGGCATATGGGCTATCACGATCACAAATTCAACTGGGGGAGAATGTGGAAATCCTCCAAAGAGCAGGTTCGAAATCTGCAAGCGAATTTCTAGTAATATGACACCCCAATAAAAATTCAGTTGTCGGCACGTGGACATAGACCCAACCTACTCAGAAAATGCAGCTTATCAAATAAGGGTAACGTTAGCAAACAAGTTGATAACGAAGGACTGTATGGAAGTTACAAACAGCACAGTCTCACTTTAACAAGGATTCTCTTCCGATGTAACCGGGTAAAATTTAAGGTCAAGGTGTGACAAAATAACTCCCACAACCTAAAAATGGATAAAAATCAAGGTCAGTAAAAAATACCTAGTCATTTGAATATGCCTCATGTATTTATGAAGTTGGTGCTGATAATTTTACTAAACCTCGTGGCGAAACGTCCACAGCAAAATATCAAAGCCTAGTGAACACTGGATCGTCAGGATACTCTAAATGTCTTTCGAGATGTGTTTACATGTTCCTTGGACGCAAAACACATCACTGCTAGATGTTACAATACCACTGATTTCATAACATTTAGACCTATTTGTAAAACGCTTTGCAGATGTCCCCTCGAATTTGTGGAGTTCTTAGCTGTTACGGAGCTTCGACCATGCTAATATGTTTCACAAACAATCTATTAGCAAATTGAGTCTTCTTCAGTGAACTCAACTTTGAGATCAAGACCGATGTACTGTTTCTTTCTGCTGTATCAATGTTCATTGCGATTTCGGCCTTTCTAATATTCCCGGCTCTTATCTGTTCACAAACATTCGTACAAAAACCTACGGCAAATATGAACGTCATCAGATTATTCGACATGTATTGCACAGACGCATTACAGGATTCAGGTAAGTTATATGCGCTTATTTATCCAAGTATATTTACTCACCAAAATCATTGTATGGAATTTCAGCCGTTATTTTAAAGTATACGTCTAAGCATCTTATTGGCTTATCAAATTTTATAACGCCTTCAAACTTAGGTACAAAATTATGTCAAGTTTGAATAAAGACAACTTCGCATCTTTTTTTTTTATTACCTAAAACACTTTTCACGTATGTGAATTTAAGACTGACAGCTTCAGCAACATAGGTGTGGTGGTACTGGTTGAGGCTACACTCCCATCTCATCAAATAACTGACCATGAGTAGGGCTCTGAATAAAATACGCATATGCGTATTGGTTCAGTTCTCAAGTAATAACTCACTTGAGAATATGAACCATGTAACCAATAAACTTCTATATACGATAATATATTTCCCAAGCACAACGCTGAAATACCCTTGTTGGTAGACCAATTCAGACATACAGAGAACAAGCACCTCGACAGCGATATAATTTGATTCAAGCTGAGCAACTAGCTTGGCGAACCATCTTGGACTGATAAAGTTGGAAATTGTGGAGTACTAGGTGCCAAACCAGTGGCTGAATGGTGAAGTGCTCCCTGGCACAGACTCCTTACAAACTAGTGGGTACGTTTTATTGAGACCTCCTTGGTTCTGATGAGAAAACTCGCCAGTGTTTCCAGCTAATGTCTGCTCGTGATCAAACTTCGTGTTGTAGAATTAGCGAACAATGGTTTCTTGGGTTCCATGTATGTATTGTTTGAGTACGTCCTAGGTTTGGAACGGTCGCAATTTCCTTCCTGGTTCCGAAAAACCTGAAAGTCAACCTAATGGAACGACACAGATTGCCATAATGGAAACCTGAAAACTCTATTCCCACTGACAAAGCAGAGCTCTCGCTGACTATCTGTAGTAGAATGTCCTCAGAATACATTACTTGTCTCACCACAACCTATATATAGCATCCAAATGCCCAGAGGAACGATATGATAAAGAATAGTTTAATTTACTAACCCGGGACTGTATGTACATTGACAATAAGACTGTCTAGGGTGTTTACTGAAGTACTTGTTATAGATTGAGAAACTTTGGTAAATATGTGGATTCGTATGCTATATAAGGTTTGAAGGAAGTAATAACTGAACACATATTTTCCGAGCATCAACTGAATCACCAAAAGTAAGGTAGTCACCGTGTGGGTACTGTCGACGTTACGTGAACGCAGGGAAAGCCAGATGACGTTATGAGCCTTCAACGGCTGAGGTTTGAACATGTGCTGCGCACGCAAAGCCACCGCCTACTACGTTGTGCCATGCTGCGGGAAGCTAGATTAGGATAAGATCCAGGGTGGCCAGGATAAGACGTTGTTCCGTTCCATGACGGTTGGTTTTAGGCGCATAGACTACCTAGTTGGGGTCCTCGAAACCATAGGAAAGTTGGTGGAACGGCTGAAAACCGACCAGCGGAGCAGATGTATTCGAAGTTTGGTTCCTTCTAAAGCTTGAATGTTTTGACTAACCTTCATTTTTAAATTTCACGTTCCATGCACCTTTGTTTACTTCGATATCAGTCTTCTTTGTATATTACAGTGAGCCGATGCACTTGTGTATGAGGATCCACATTGATTCTGTCTGTCTATCTGACGTATGTATCACACACGGCTGAAAAGCGTTTACTGTAATAATTGTAGTGCTATTGGCATATAACTGCAGGCTTTAAGACAAAGGCGTCAGTTAGACTGCAGTTAACTTAAAACATAAGATAAATTGCAAAACAGTCACTCATCATCATATCAACATTGTACCAGGCATTACTGCGTAACGGTCCGAGTTGTCACACCTCATATCAGTACATCAAGTAAAAAGGCAGTGAGATGCAAGATGAAGATAAGAAAGTTCAGTCAAAAGGAAGAATGAGAAAATGGCGAGATTCAGTATAGGATCGTTGAGATGAGGATAATGTATGTATATGCATCTGTGCCACTGACAGAGGTTCTGAGCTATATCACCTAGAGTCTCCAACCACTGGTTTCCTCTTCTCCCTCAGACCCCAACCGACTAGTCTGCATCGCCCCACATGGCTCAAACCAACAGTCAAAGACATCATACACTGATGCCACCTCGGGCCTTTTTACAGCCTGGACCTACTTCGGCCACTAACTGATTTTCACAGCATTTAGGGTAATGCAACTATCATAATGGGTTTCCTTGTTTGCAGAATGAATGTTACATCTAAACAACAGAACATTATCAAATCTCCTACTAAATCATTCATAAACATTGGAAGAACTTGGCGGACACATTCAAAATGCACAATAGACTACGCAGGCACTTATCTGAAACATCGAAATTTTAGTTGGAAATAATCATTTAAAATAACTAAGTTACACCTCCAACCTTCGCCTAACATTAGTAGCCCACGAGTGCATACAAAAAAACACTGCATTTTGAATGGAAGCTTGTTTCTTTCACTTTGGAGCTGCGTAGGGTTAAATGAAATAAAGCAAATTAAAGAAACATCATCGAGAATCACGAAAGTCGAGCATTGTCGTCTTATGACAGATTCACATCTTAAGAACAATGCCAATTGAAAGTTTTTTCGCAGGTTATATATATATACGAGTAATTAATAGAGCTCTGAAGACATAATAAAAGGAACTAAGGAAGAAAAAAATATAGTAGAAATCAGCATGATGGCTGCAAACATCAGTGTCATTGATAATAACAATATTAATGAAGGGTGACAAAAATGCCATGTTATATGTAGATAGATAAGGTTTCCATAACATAATATTAGCACATGTATTATTCTGCGCCTCTCCGACTGGGTGATCTGCGATAGATTAGTACTGGATAAAAAAACAAGCAGAAAGGAAAATATCTATTCATAAATATAGATAAGTAACTATTTAAACACTGTTTCAGCTTAAAAATGTAGTGAAATGAAGAATTCTAAACAAGTACTGGCTTTGTACAATATTAGGACGTTCCACTTACATCTGATGAAAAATAAAAGTCCAGTTATTTTACGTACACATGCAAACCAATGTGTAATAAGGTAGTGACGTAATTAGATTTTGGAAGTGAGTACTTACGCATGCGAATTCAGTTTTCCAAACTGTAACAGTAATAATAAACAAGATGAAATGACTGACTGGTAAAATCAACGTAGAACCTTGCACACAGGTGCATCAGCTCAACTTGCCACACACTCTTCGCAGTTGTTCACAAAGAACGAATGGAAAGAAGAAGAGTGACACTGAAGTATACAAAGCTGTGTGAAAGAGAGAATAAACAATTTGAAGTTAAAAAGCTAGTGCAAATAATCAGGTCTTAGATGTTAGAGTGAATACATCTGCGCTATTGTGCCCGAGTCCTAGCCATTTCACCAGAAGTCCTCAACCACTGATTCCCTTTACTCTCAAGGACTCCAGGCAGGTAGTCTACATTTTCCAGTACGGCTCCGAACAAAAGTCGCAGACTTCATCAACCGGTGTCATGTCCTGATATGCCCACCCTGAATACTCTTCCATTCTAATCCAGCCTTCCGCAGCATGGTACATCATAGTAGGTGGTGACTTTGCATGCGCGACACATGCCTAAGCCACCTCACACTATGAAGATCTACAACTTCACCAATCGACTTGACTATTTTCCTAATACCCCTAGCCTGACCTTAACACTGCTCACACAGTGGTTCCGCCACACGATAAAATAATACAAAGACATTCAGAATAATGGGACTGCACCACTACAATTGATCATAAAAGTAGATGAGAAGTTAATGGAAATAAAGATGAACAAAATCAAACAGGCACATAAAAGATATCGACGAAAAACTCATCAAAATGTTGGAAGATGATCTGAAATATGAAGGTAGACAAAGTTACCACTTTGTCATGAAACGACAGAAGGAATAAAGAGATAATAAAATTCGTCATGACCAATAGGATGAAGATAATGTGTGGATGTATGTGCCACAGAAATCGGTTTTGAGCCATATTGCGATAACGGTTGTCACGCCGACCTCCAAGCAACAAGTCTACATTTTACACTACTGGTCAAGCTAGTTTGATTTAACCGCACCTAACCTTATCCCAGTCCAAGAAACCTACTTCAGTCAACGACCCAGGACAAAACAAACGGTTACTAAGCAAGCATAAGACATGTCCCAGCCATATGAGTTAATGAAGACCCACAACCACAACATTTACTTCTTTCTCCCTACAACTCTATGTCTAACTTCTACGTTGCTGACGTGATCACATCATGACACACAAACTATGTATGCTACGAAGGTAACAGTGGCTGAATACCTGGAGCCTTTTCATATCATTCGCCTGAACATAAGGATCTATCAAGTTATTGAAATGTATAACCATAATGGGCAAAATGATTGAAAGCAATCTGCTGATGGTAACACGATTAAAAAATATTCAACCTGAAAGGGATAAAATCTTACCAAAGGTTTCCCTGTTTCACTTAACGGCTTTTTCTGGAAAAGAAAAGTGACAAAGCGATCAGTTCCATGAATATATAACAGGAAGGATTGAAGAAAGGTGAGTAAATAAGCGGAAAATTACCTTCACATTACTAGTACCCCAGGTCGGTTGACCGCCTAAGCTTGATGCTAAATTTGATAATGTACTGTCCAAGGCATCGAGCGGATTCTTATTCTGTGAAGCAGCCACAACAGCAGGACGAATCGGAACAGTTGATGGAATAGGTTTCAAACCTATATTAGATATGAAAAGTGAGAGAAACATTAGTTGAACATACTGGCGAAATCCGTCGTCTAGTAGTAAGCCAGTCATTAGAGCGGAGTAGTCAAATGGAATCACAGTAACCCTGGTACTTCAAAAATAACCAAAAATATAACAAAAAACATGGCCAACTTTTTCGATTTAAAAATAACGGAGAAAAATACTTAGAATAGCACAAGTGACACTGGCCATCTCAAAGACACTTACAGATGCTAACGCGTATCAAGGATACCCCCCGGCCCGCCCCAACTCTAATCATGAGGACTTCGAGTGATGAATGATAGATAACTCTAAATATGTGCATAACAAACAAGTATATTAATTAGCACAGAAGTTATTTAACGCATGACTGATTCCTGTGCCTTATGAGTAGGCGAATGAAGATCTATTCCTGGTGATGAACAACTTACAAGTACCAGGCATACCTTCGCATACTGATACACAGTATTACAATGCATTATTCGAATAGACTGATAGAGAATGTGTTTGCACACAAACTGTGGTCACATCGATGAACATAAATACAGTGGAGAGTATTGTGTTTAGATGTTCGTTTGACAAACAAACAGCCTGTCAGAAATAAGACATGTACCAATTCAGAGAGGTGTACATTCCAACGTTGAACAAAATGACGTTAATTGGCTATGATTAGGATTCTGGAGGGTTCTCAAGAGTGATTGATGCTGAAGTTTGGACTAATGACTAGGTCAATCAAATGTCAACCTATAGATCAATACCGATGGGCCTACCGAAATTTACACGCAAAAAATGTGGTCGTAGCTTAGTTGATAAACCTGTACGTGGGCCCTGAGATGCGACAGCAGTTGAGTATCGTAGCTCAAATGGCTTTTATCCCTCTGCAACTCGTATTTAAACACTGAAACACAAAGATAACATGCTAGAACCATCAGTGTGTTTCCGACCAAAATCAATAAGGGATCTGGCACTACCGTGGGACGGTTTAAGTTGACACATCTTAGGGCAAGCGAATGAAAAAAAAAGAAATAGAAAAACAAAAATGCAAAGTTTTGGATAGTGTATTATGATACGTGGGCAATACTGCTGTTCATTATCTGCAAACCTAATTAGGCATTCGAATATCATTTCAGCGCGTCCAGTTAACCGGAACATGTCGTGTACGTCATCCAATTCTTATACGAAATCTACCAGAAAATAAAAAGAATCATAATAAAGGATAGTGCTGAGGAAGCTAAAGCACCTTTATTACGCACTGGTGATTGCAAAGGAAATGAAAACAGGGGACTCGACAGGATTCGAATTCATGACATCTGGATTACCGACTTGACGCTCTATCAAGTGAGTAATACAACATTAAGTTACTGACCAGGTCTCAGCTTCACTTTAACCAAAGGGTTTCACTTCACTATAGCGTAATGCATAGGTGTCAGTTGACCGTCATCATACTAGTTGTCCAGTCATATCTTCATATCTAAATCCAAATCCAGCTGGATTAGACAGGGGACGTTGTATTAGTTATTAGACTATCTGGATGAACAAGCAAAACGGATGGAACGCGTTCAGCTACCTTTTGTACATCCGTTCAGTAGGCAATGAGCTACGCCAATTGTGTGAAGGTTAGTAATACTACCTGGCTGACCAAACCTCATTAAGTGGACCAAGTCTTGACCCAATAGTTGGTGGTCATATCTCGAAACCACTGAGCTATAGCTCCATTTTTCTATCTGAGATAGTTTTGGTTTGGCGAATCAGCGTTATTAATATCAGATGATGATTAGAGAAGAAATAAAAACCTGGGTCGTGACAACATTAGCAATAACAACAAGCGTTTTATGATATCACTTAGGACGATATCAAATTACAGGACAACAGTTTCGGCGAAAACTGTGAGATTTAAATGGTAGTTGGTTGAACGAATCGTACACCAGTAAAAGAAATTACATTTTGTTACGTTCATCAGGGACTATCAGTGGAATCAAGGATGCGCGTTTCGTCCTGTTTGGGACTCGCCAGCTGGATAGGATCTCACTGCACTTCAGTGAGTGTTGTTCCCTCCGGGATTCGGACCCAGTACTCATTATGTCAGACGCCATTGCATTCCCATTAAAACTGTAATGAATTCATTTCTCCATCGTCAACGAAACACTTTATAGTGATTCACTGACAGACCCTAACTGATAACGTTTCGAAATGGAACACCATTTGAATTGCACCATCTCCAAGCTAATTGATGTTGAATCTTTTTTAAAATGTATTTCAACAATTAATCTTTGTTTAAAAATAACCAGAATATATAAATCAACGTAAAATCTCGCACAAAAATGTATCACTTCAAGTTGTCACAGTTCACAGAAGCATAAAAACGAAAAGTGGGTCGAAAAAGGTTGATATTGAAGCAAATAAAACTACAAGGGCGAAAAGAGGAAAAATAACTGAAGACTAGTAAATGTGTTCAAAATTTCGAAGATGTCAAAAAGTGAATACAACTGCACCGTTGTGACTGGTTTTCAGCCATGTCACCAAGAGATCTCAACCACTAATTACTACTATCTACGGGATGCATTTCCGAAAACGACTCAGATCAACACCCAGAGACTTTATGTACTAGTGTCATATCTTTCTCCGACCATCATGAGGCTTTATCCAATTTAATATAACTTGTGCTAGCACTGGACGTCGAGGTAGACGACCAACTGTTCTTTGAATGTTGCTATAATGTGTACCAATTTGAACCGATACACTTCTGTACAAGGTTCTACATTGATTTTCTCTATCTGACACATGTCCAAGTCATATCAATCGTTGAAGTTTCACAGCTTCATCGATTGACTTATCTTCTTTGTCTAACAGCTTCCTCACAAACTCCAGATTACTCACATATTGATTTCGCAAAATATGAGCAATGCTACGAAGGCACATGTGGTCGAAAACCTGAAGTCCGTTTATATCCACTTTCAACGACAATGTGTTACCGCCATACAGCAGGATAGAGAGAACTGCAGCACAATATACATGTCCTTAAATAAGTGGCCGATGATCTCGCCGACGCTACAGATGGCGTAAATTGGTAAGTCCCAAATGAACCTTTTGTATGTGAGATGAGGTTTTGTAGGAAACCAACCCATTCACGCTGATGTAACCCAAACAATTGAAGTGGTTAACGCATTCTACCACCACTTCTTTTCTATCCTTAACCTAGTTCGCGATGATAATGAAACTAAAGCAATCATTAAGCAATATTGTCATGAATACAATTCAATGAAAATGGTGATAAACGGCTTTTAGTACTGAATGGTTGAGTAAACACCGGGTAAGAAATCCAGAATTTGATTCACCTTCTCAGACAGTTTCCTCACAGAACGAATAGTTCATTTTTAGTACTGAAAAGTATAGAGTTGAATAACCGAAGTAGGATTAGCTTAAAAGGTAGATTTGCGATACTTTGTTAACTGTTTTCAGTCGTTCGTGACCAATAATATCCCAAGGAGTAGAGACCGTTATTTAGCACCATCAGCTGACAGACGCGTTACTTATATAAAATTAAAATAATTCTCTAGTAACCAACCCAATGTGTCTAATCTACTCCTACAAGAAGTCAGTCGCGATCCAAATAGCTCAGTGGTAACATCGGTGACCGCAACAGTAGATGGAGCGGGTTCCAACCTCAGATGTGACACTTCCGTTCAGCTTACAGATACCTTTTTCTGACGAGTGTGAACAAGCAAGAAACCTAGGTTTGAGGCTTCCTACCGATTGCCTTCAACCAACTAGTATATAAAGTGATCGATTTTTATACATACGCTTACCTGCTGGTAAAGCATTAACAAATGATCCCGGGGGATTAGCCGAAGGCGCTTGAGAAACAACTACCGGACTGGTATCATCTTTTGCCAAAAGTGGGTCAAGCGACAACAAATCATCAATAACTATAAACAAGGATAACAATAATACAATGATTGCACTAAGGATATGTGCCGGAAAATGAGAGCAAAGTTAAATCGACTATAGAAGATAGTAAGTACTATGGTAAAACGGAGGAAAGGAGGAATCTGTTACCTCAGTTTTGCTTCATTAATAATCAGGGAAAATATTAAGTCAGTTTATTACGCAATTGTCCGATAAAGCATTGTTTTGCTGAAGTTTTCTGTGAATATATAAACAACAGACTTTTTCAATAAATAATGGTCATAATATGAAGGCTTAATGTTGGTGTGAAAATGAAATGATGCAATAAGGTAAGTGTAATTCAATTTGAAGGTTAGTGGAGATTAATTGATTGATTTCAGGTTGATGTTCATCATGAACTGATACCAGTTAAAGAAACATTGCAGCGGTGAAAAACTGTTTCGTCCTAGTGTGGAACTCTCAGTAGTGTACAAACATGACCCCGCCAGGGGTCGAACGCAGAACCTTCAGGTTACCATTGAGCCACTGAGTCGGAATCCAATGGTCCAAGTTTTCCAACTTCTGTCGGTCTACGATATAGCGAGACCGCCACCGAAAGCTGTACACCAAGTTATGTTTTTACACTCAGATTTTCCTTCGATCACAATAGAATTTCAGAGCTGTGGTTCACTGTTTTAGTAATACTGACTTGCAACCAGTGGGTCAGTAGCTTGTACACCGCTCCACTAACTGAGGTTTGGGCACTCAAGTAGTAACGTTAACCCTCACACAACAGGTGTGGCTACTCATCGCTTATTGCGTAATAACACAAACAATAATAACGCACTCAACCATCTTGTATCTTGTGCACATCCATGCAGTAGACGATGAGCCACACCTGTTGTGTGAGGGCTAATGATACCACCTGGCTGCCCAAACCTCGGTTGGTGGGGCGTGGCTTGAACCCACGACCCAACGGCTGATAGTCATTTCGCTAAACCACTCAACCATAGCCAGACACTACCTACTTCATGAACATGCACAAGGTTGCTAAGTGCATTCCGATTTTTTGACAACTACACAGAAAAAAGTCACAAGTGAAACTGAAGATAGAGTATATTATCGATGTCAGGTACAAATGGCATAAAATCATCCACTATTACTTACTTATTCTATACATTCTTACATCCTTTCAGTTTATTTCCACACTCACGGATTCCTGTTGAATGTTTTTCTTCCTGTGTTGTTACCAAGTAATTCAACTTGAATAGATGTTATCTGTGCAAGGGTCCAACAACGTTACTTCTGTTCGCCTAATTATCATCTTACACGGATCAAAGTAGTGGTGATAGCTACTACGAAAGTGTATATCACGTAAGCAATAAGAAGAACAATGACTGTCTAACAATTTATGACTAATTCATGCGTATACATGAATAATACGTCTGAATAGTGTAGACGAAAAATTAAAAACTTGAGCTAAACAAAAACACAACAGAAACAGTGAATCCATTGTAAATTAAATTTTTTTTCAGCTATAACACATAAAACTGGCAATCACACTTACTAGGTGTAAATTAATGCTATGACCCGATTGAATGAATCGGTAACACTGACTCCCTATTGTCTCACATAAGGTGAGAACAGGCCGGTTTTCGACCAAATTACCGTTTTGCTACTGGTAACAGTTTCGACGTAGGGATATTTTCAAAAAATTATTAAATACTTCGGAAATCGTTTGTATGGGGGGGGGAAGAGACTGACAGTGTGGCTTTGCGACAAAAAGTAAACAGAGAGAGATACCAAACGACGGAAAATCAATCCATAAATTTATGTTTACCTGAAGAAGCAGTATTATTAGTTGAAGACTTCGCTTCTTGTGTACCTGCAGAGCTAACAACTTGAGCTGTGAAAGGAACAGGTTCAATATTCGACTGTGGTAGGGGATCAGATGACAATAGATCAAGGCCAAGTAAATCATCTAGAGCTGAAGGTTGATTGGTATGAGATTGTTCCACATGACCTATATACACACATTTCATTGGGAGAAAATAAGCAAAATAAGAATTTCCGACAACTAATAGAACAGACAGAACTATATACGGGATAGTATCTTATTAATGCTTGGAAACCATTCGAAAAATACGCATACAATTATCTGAATAAAGTGAAACCGTAACGACTAAGCGAAACGAACGAACCTTCGCATTTAACGAGTAACAATTTTCATGTCAGTGGGGGTTTTGATTAGGATGACTACATGGATCCATAGATCATGGATATTTTGCTCATTTAGTCTACATCCCCCTCAATAGCAGAAATGAAGCACATAACAAGTGATCATAAAGCATCAGTCAAACACCACAGCTTCATCGATGAAGCATGTGGGGAAACATCAAATAGTTGGTATTGTCACTTTATTTGAAAAAAACTGAACAGATACAGTGACTTAGAGTAAATGATGATTGGGAAATAGGAAGTACGTGTAACTAAGCACAGCCGTATATATATCGCAACAACTTGAAATACTTTATACACGGGTATAGAGTAGAAAATAAACGAATACAAGTTAATGAAGGGAACACAAGGTAGAAATTAACGACGTATTCAATATGCAGAAAAATATAAAACGTGTCCACACTTTCTATCATCTCGATGACTAACAGAAGAACCGAGGACAAGCATTTTTTTCAACTTGGGACTCGTCAGTTGAATGTAACTGCACCCTAGTGCGGGATGATGTTGTTGCCACTGTGACTTGAACCTAGAACCCAAAAAAGTTATCCACTAGGTAAACGAGGGGATGGGCATTTATCACTCTTGATTTTAAGCGGAATGTCTACAGTTTCTTACCATGGACTTTGTGTTTACCCGATGGATACCGAACAGGAAGTCTGTTTCCGAAAATATAGCAATTCGGTGTAAATAGTGATCAGCAGTGCAGAAAATTCATCGCAATCACTTTAGATTCACAAATTTCCACGTGGACCTACTTACCTTACCTTATCAATGGAGACAAAAGTAGTCGGACGTATATAGACTTGTTAGGTTCTTCAACGTATTTAGTCGTTTCAAGAAGCACGCATCTGTGCAGTATGGTTAATAATGGACTGGGTACTCACATCGAAACTATAAGTGGTGCGCCGTCACTAACTGACAAGTTAAACATCACTTCAGGGAAACAGTGAGGAATTTATTGAAAAGTTTTTAGAATTCAATTCATTTTTTGATTGCATAATGAGTAAGCGTAAGTGAGTGTAAACTTACCAGAGTTTTACTATCATGTACAATGCTTTACTGACATACTAAAGGCATAACTGCCGCTTCCGATTATGAATCCTAAATTTTATCAAGCTAATAAAGAAACAGAAGGCTATAGAATAAGTCTCTAGTACAAAGAGGCATAGAAAAACAAAGCAATAGAAATATCGGGCGTACGATTATGCAGCTTGACCAAAGTAATACCGAATACCTACTTTTTTTGGCTGGGAAAAGTATACGTTAAACCTATGAGACACTCTATTTTATCGCATCTAGATGATAAAGAACCTCGCCTGGTTAACTAGTTTACTAGTTACTAGCCGGTCCTAAGCCCGGGTAAAGAGGGAAGGTTGGGCATAGGGCTAGCAACCCTACCCCGTAAAACAAATCTAACCGCTAAAGAAACTTCAAAGCACAAACAAAATATAAAAAATGAAAACAAACTTATTCCCCGCTGGAATCGGAGAGGCGAAATGACGCCAGTTGGTGAAAGCCTTCGGGAAGCCAATTGGCCGATGTGTCTTCTCTCGATGAAAGCGAAAGTAAACGTGGGGACATGGAATGTCCGCACGATGTTTGAACCCAGTAAGGCAGCCCAGATTGCAAAGGAGATGAGAAGGTATAACATCGAAGTGCTTGGGATTTGCGAAAGCAGATGGAATGGGAGTGGACTCTCCAAACTGTCAACTGGAGAATCAATAATCTACTCCGGTCACCCAGACGCCAACCACGAGCACACTGAGGGAGTGGCTATCATGATGTCCTCAAGAGCATCGAAGGCTCTCATGCAGTGGGAACCAATCTCCTCCAGGATCATGACAGCAAGATTCAACTCAAAAGGAAGAAAGGTCACAATCATACAATGTTATGCACCTACAAATAATGCAGAGCAAGAGAAAAAGGAGGAATTCTACAGACAACTTCAGTCAACACTGGACAAGACGTCAGTTGGCGATATCAAAATTCTAATGGGCGACATGAATGCCAAACTGGGAGGGGACAACACGGGAAGAGAACTAACCATGGGTCGAGAGGCGCTAGGTGAAATGAATGAGAATGGAGAATTGTTTGCAGAATTCTGTGCATTCAACGATTTGGTGATTGGAGGCAGTGTGTTCAGGCACAAGGATATCCACAAAGCGACATGGACTTCACCAGATGGACACACTAAAAATCAAATCGACTTTATCTCAATCTCAAGAAAATGGAGACGCAGTCTACTTAACACAAGGTCAAGAAGAGGAGCAGATGTAGGTTCAGACCACTATCTAGTGCAAGGAACCTTCCAAATCAAGTTAAAAGCCTTCAAGGAAGCTGGTGATAGACCTCAATTCAAGTACAACACTCGGAAACTGAAGGATGAAACTACAAAGGAGATCTTCAAAGCAGCCATCAAGACAAAATGGGAGACGTCGAGGGACATCCCTGAAGAAACCTGTGTAGAAGAACACTGGAAGTCTTTGAAAGCTATGTGGAAAGAAACCTGCACAACAGTATTAGGAAGGAAGAAGAAAGAAGACAAGGAATGGATCTCGACGGATACCTGGAAGCTGATAGAGGAGAGGAGGATGGTGAAGCAGAAGATAAACCAGTGCAAGGATGCTCAACGACAAGAGGAACTGAGCACAATGTATAAAACACTGGATAAAGAAGTGAAGAAGAGTGCACGCAAAGACAAAAGACACTTCTACGAACACTGGCAAGTGAAGCAGAACAGGCTGCAGGTAAGAGAGACCTGACGACATTGTATCAAATAACCAGGTTGCTATCAGGGAAGAGACCAACACAGATGAAACCAATAAAAGATGAAGAAGGAAATTTAATTACAAAAGAAGAGAAACAGAGGAAACGATGGGCCGACCACTTCAAGAAGCTCTTGAATCGACCACCACCTGCACTTCGTCCAGAAATACCACCTGCAGCCGCTGAATTACAAGTGAACATAAATCCCCCAACGAAAATGGAAGTCCTGAACGCCATAAAGCTACTGAAATGCGGGAAAGCAGCAGGACCAGATGGAATACCGCCAGAAGCACTGAGAACAGATGCAGAGACAACAGCGGACATGCTCACACCACTATTGCAGAAGGTGTGGAGGGAAGAGAAGGTACCTGACGATTGGAAGAAGGGTTACCTTGTCAAACTGCCGAAGAAGGGAGACCTCAGTGCTTGCAAGAACTGGCGCGGAATCACTCTCCTATCCACCCCAAGTAAAATATTAAGCCGCATCATCCTGGAGAGGCTTAAAGACGCACTGGATTCAAAACTGCGACCGGAACAGGCAGGCTTCAGGAAGTACAAATCATGTGCTGACCAAATTGCAACGCTTCGTATCATCATAGAACAGAGCGTAGAATGGCAATCAGCTCTATACCTCAACTTCATCGACTTTGAGAAGGCCTTTGACAGCGTCGACCGAGAAGTAATTTGGAAACTGCTTCAATACTACGGAGTACCGCAAACCTTTATCCGCCTCATTCAACAACTATATGAAGATGCCACATGCCAAGTAATCCACAATGGGAAGCTCAGTGATGCCTTTGAAGTGAAGACAGGAGTGAAACAAGGTTGCCTACTATCCCCCATGATATTCCTTATTGTGGTGGACTGGATCATGCAGCAAACAGTAGGCAGCGAGAAGAGGGGGATACACTGGACGACGGAAAAGAACCTAGAAGACTTGGATTTCGCCGATGACTTATGCCTAATGTCACATAAACTTGAAGATCTGCAGGCAAAAACTAACAAGTTGACAGAAGAGGCAGCTAAGACGGGACTTCAGGTGAATATAGAGAAGACAGAAGTGATGAAGATACCGCACCACCACCATCAACAACAACAACAAACTCCAATCACCGTCAACGGGAGAAACTTGAAGGAAGTAACCTCCTTCACTTATCTAGGAAGCACTGTTTCAACTACAGGCGGGACGGACGAGGACGTCAAAGTCAGAATCGGAAAAGCAAGACAGGCGTTCATTAGCCTGAAACCAGTGTGGAGATCTTCTGCACTCAGCATGTGGAACAAGATACGGATTTTCAACACCAACGTCAAGTCAGTGCTCTTGTATGGCTCAGAGACTTGGCGCGTCACGAAAGGCATTTCCAATAAACTACAGACATTCATCAACAACTGCTTACGCTCGCTGCTGAAGATCAGATGGCCAGAAAAAATAAGCAACAAGGAACTCTGGGAACGAACCAACCAAGAACCTATCACGCAACAAATATGCAGGAAGAAGTGGAGATGGATTGGCCATGCACTGAGAAGGCCGACTGAGGACATCACGCGTCAGGCCCTCGAGTGGAATCCCCATGGGAAGCGACGAGTTGGACGTCCGAGGGTGACATGGAGGAGGTCATGCGAGGAGGAAATGAGAGGTTGTGGGCTGTCGTGGAACCAGGTTCAAAAGATCTCAGAGAACAGAGGTCACTGGAGGCGTGCTACTGAAGCCCTATGTTCCACTAGGAACCCAAGGGACTAATAATAATAAAATAATAGATGATAAAGGCTAAGAAGTGGATAAAACGAAAGCAATCAAAGTGAGTTATCGCATCTTACCGAACTTTTCCGATAGATTTTGAACTCGATTGTCACATATATAGCTAAGGTTATAAACATTTAAACCTCGCCTAGTTCACCAGTTTCATAGCCGGTCCTAAGCCCGGATAAAACAGAGAATGTTGGGCGTGGTGATAGAAACCCCGCCCCACAAAACCAATCCAATCCAATCGCTAAAGAAACTTCAAAGCACAAAGAAAATATAGAAAACAACCTCATTCCTCGCTGGAATCGAGGAAACAAATGATGAAAGCCTTCGGGAAGCCAATTGGTCGATGTGTCTTCTCTTCTCTCGATGAAAGCGAAAGTAAAAATTGAGGATATGGAATTCCCACACAATATCTGAAGCCAGCAATGCTGCCCAGATTTCAAAAGAGATAAGAAGGTATGGCATAGATGTACTAGAAATCTGTGAGAGTAGATCGAATGGAAGTGGACTCTCCAGACTGCCATTTGGAGAGTCAATAATCTGCTCCGATACTGTCACCCAGACAACAATCACGAGCACACTGAGGGAGTGGTCATCATGATGTCCCCAACACCATCGAAGTCCCTCATGCAGTAGGAGCCAATCTCCACCAGGATCATGGCAGCAAGATCCAAATCAAAAGGAAGGAAAGTCACAATCATTCAATGCTACGCACCTACAAATAATGCAGACCAAGGGGAGAAGGAGGAATCTTGCAAACAACTGCAATCAGTTATAGACAAGGCCCCACTCCAGTTGGCGACATCAAAATTCTAATGCGTGGCGTGACATGAATCCCAAACTGGGAGCAGACAACACAGAAAGAGAACCAACCATAGGTCGAGGGGCACTTAGAGAAATGAATGAGGATGGAGAACTGTTCGCAAACTTCTGCGACTTCAATGATTTGGTGATTGGAGGCAGTGTACAAACACAAGGATATTCACAAAGCGACATGAACTTCACCAGAAACCAGGACACACTGAAAATCAGATCGACTTCATCTCAATCTGAAAAATGTGGAGATGCAGCCTACTGGACACAAGATCAGATCAAGAAGAGGAACAGATGTAGATTCACACCACTCACTATCTAGTGCAAGGGACTTTCAGAATCTAGCCGAAAGCCTTCAAAGAAGTTGGCGATAAACCACAGTTCAAGTTTAACACCCAGAACATAAACTGAAGCACGAAACTGCAAAGGACATCCTCACGTCAGTCAGTCATCAGGAAAAATTAGAAGACACTAAGCAACATCCATGAAGGAACTTGCGTGGAAGAACACTGGAAATATTTGAAAGCTATGTGGAAGGAAACCTGCATAACCGTGTAAGGAAGAAAGAAGAAGAGGCAAAACAAGGAATGGATCTCGACGGACCCATGGAAGCTGATAGAGGAGAGGAGGGAGAGGAAGATGGTGAAGCAGAGGATGAACCAGTGCAGTGCAGGGGTAAACAACGAAAAGAGGAACTGGACATAACCTACAAAACACTACACTGGACAAAGAAGTGAAGAAGAGTGCGCGCAAAGACAAAAGACACTTCTACCATACACTCGCAACTGAAGCACAACAGGCTGCAGGTAGGAGAGACAAAGACCTGACAACATTATATCAAATAACCAGATTACTATCCGGTAGCGAAGAGATCAACGCAGATGAAAGATAGTGGAGGGAACTTAGCTAGCACCAAAGAGGAGAAACAAAGGAAGCGATGGGTTGACCAATTCAAAAAACTCTCGAATCGACCACCACCATCTACAACTCGTCCAGAAATACCACCAGCAGCCCAGTCACAGAACTATCAGTGAACACAAACACTCCGACAAAAGCAGAAGGGAAGTTCACAACGCCATAAAGCTACTGAAACCCGGGAAAGCAGAAGGACCAGATGGTATTCCGCCAGAAGCACTGAAAACTGACCCACAGACAACAGAGGACATGTTCACACCACTACTGCAGAAGGTTTGGAAGGACAGGTACCTCCCCACAGATTGGAAGAAGGGCTACCTTGTCACCCTTACAAATAAGGGTGACCTTAGTCTTTGGCAAGAACTGAAGCGGAATCATGATCCTGTCCACACCTAGCAAAATATTAAGGCGTATCATCCTGGGGAGACTAAAGGATGCGCTGCATCCAAAAGTATGACCAGAACAGGCTCGCTGGCTGGCCGGCTTCATGAAGAACAAATCATGTCCGGATCAAATTGCAACGCTACACCACGCATGTTCATAGAACAGAGTATAGAATGGCAGTCAACTCAACTCTACCCCAACTTCATCGATTTTGAAAAGGCCCTCATTCGACAGCGTCGACTGACAAGTAATTTGGAAACTGCTTCAACATAACGGTTTTTGTGACACAAACCTTTATCAGCCTCATTCAACAGCCATATGCTACATGATGCTACATGTCAAGTGATTCACAATGGAAAGCACAGTCATGCTTTTGAAGTGAAGACGGGAAGGAGTAAGACAAGGTCGCCGCCTACTATCACCGATCATCTTCCTGATTGTGGTCGACTGGAGTGTACTGGATCATGCAGCAAACTGTGACGAGCATAAAGTGGACCGATGAAAAGACCCCAGAAGATTTGGATTTCGCCCATGGTGATTTATATCTTATATCGCGAAAACTCGATGATCCACAGGCAAAATCCAACAAGTTGACAGTAGAGGCGAGGCAGCGAAGACGGGACTTTCTTCAGGTGAACTTAGAGAAGACAGAGGTGATGGAGATACTCAACCGACAACAAACGCTGCAAGAAGCAACAATCACCATCGTTTCAAATACAGGCGGTACAAGTACAGATGAGGATGTCAAAGACAGCCAGCCAGGATCGGAAAGACAGCAAGACAGGCCTTCAGTGTGGAGATCTACTGCACTGCACTACACTCAGCATGAACAAGATTCGGATTCTCAACACTAACGTCAAGTCGGTCCTTCGATGTGACGGTTCAAAGACTTGGCGCTTTACGAAAAGCATTTCTAACAAACTACAGGCATACATCAACAGCTGCCGCCTACGCTCACTCGATACTGATGGCCAGAAAGAATAAGCAACAACCAACTCTGGTTGGTAGAGAATCAACCAAGAACCTATCACCCAATAAATATGCAGGAGAAGGGGGAGATGGATTGGATTGGACATACACTGAGAAGACCATTCAGGGACATCACGCGCCAGGCCGGGCCCTCGAGTGGAACCCGCATGGGAAACGACGAGTTGGACATCCGAGGGTGACATGGAAGAGATGGTATGAGGAAGAAATGAAAGCTTGTGGGCAGTCGTTGAGCCAGGTTCAAAAGACTGCAGAGAAGAGAATGAAGTGGAGACGTGCTACTTGAGGCCTTGTGTTCCACTAGGAACCCAAGGGACAATTAATCATAATAAAAATAAAAATTTGAATGAACAATCTAAAGCTCTGTGTTCAAAAGAAATTCCAATTAGAAGACTGAGTGAAAGACGAAAAGTAGAGGATTATTAAATTTGATTTGTGTATGCTTTGATTGGGATGCCTAATCCCTAAAAAGACTAACTTATGTTTTGTATATATTATCGGTGCAAAACTTAAACCTTATTTTTGCGACCTTTTTGAGGCATGCAGTGTTACTTATTGCTGACGTGGTTCAGGATACGAAACGATGACTGGTCCGTTTTATACTTTTAATGTGCTATTTTGTTTTCCCTGGCCAAGGCCATCTAAGGATATATAAGCAACTGAATTTTCAGCCATGAACTCATTCGATTGAAGTAAATATACTTCCAGTCTCATCATCTAGTGTCAGCTGAATATCATGTCGAGAAGTCATGATTCTATTGTTAATCGTATCACGTCGGAGCATTGTACCACTATATAAACCTTGGATCATATGTCTGTATAACTAGAAATGAACTTGATTGTAGTACAACTAGAATCTGAACCCACCTGACTTGTCAGACCATACAGTAGTATCTACAGCTGGCGCAACTGGTTCTTCGTCACCAGCGAATGGACTACCACATATTGGAGATGCATCACTTTGTCCAGCAGCTTTTTGATTAAGTCCTGAAGCAAACAACAAAGAAGAGTGAAAATAAATACGATTATGAAAATGAACAGTCACACAAAATCCCTGTTAACATCTTACAATAAGATATAGATTAAAACTAAACTTGGTAGTTGGCAACAACTTACTTTACATCAAACAGTTAGACTCTGGAAAAAATATTCCACTCTTATAATCTGTTGTGATGAAATCCGGAGCATAACCAGCAACAAGAAACTCAAAGCGCATCAATCCTCTGGGATGCGAATGATACTTAAGTGATAATAATAAATGGAACAGAATTGAAATAAAACAACAATCCTTATTTTAGTGAACTCAAATCAGATCATTCCTATTTACCCACAACTATCTACAGAGATTGTTAAAATGATCACAGGATCGTTGGTGGGATGCATAAAAGGTATTTATTAACTGACAATATTATCATATACTTTGTTTGATGTATATGAATTGGTCACCAGTGGGTAATCGACGCAACTGTCAACTGGTCGAATCTTTCTATGTGACAACTCAGCGAATTGACGTAACGCTGGCAGTCCACTGCATTTTGGTGTCAAATGTTGAAATCGATTGGTAGGAAGCGCTGCTCGACATCGGTTTCGTGTTTATCGGGATTAAGAACAAGGTAATTACATCGGTTACCACCTATTGGTGACTAATTCATGTGCATATTCCAATCCTACAGGCGGTCAGTTGTGACTTCAGGATGAGATCGAAGTCAGACAGAAATTTCTGTCAATCAACTTAAAACATCTAACAACGCCTAGTTTTGCTACACTCATTATTTTCTTGCTTTAGGGTTAAATATCACCTATGCGTCCAGGTGTATATTTATACCGACATTTTTTAATGAATTTTAATAAACAGTGCACTTATTTTTCGAGTAATTTTTCAATCATAATAAATACTGAAAATACTGGGAGTAATTTACCTGAAAGAGATAAATTGTGCTTGGTTTTATCGATATTTGCATTCAAATTACATTTATCATCCTCCATCTCACTATCGCTAACACTGACAGGCGGTTGTTCAGATACAATACCAATATGACTAGGTGATGGTGATGGACGAGCAGGGGAAGGTGATCTGGAGCGTGTCGGTGGGACTGATACGGTTCGATGTTCAGATCTGTATCAATGAATGCAGATAAATTTATAGGAATATCAAACAATCATTTGCAAAGAAGATAGTAAGTCAAGATATTTTAAGTGTTAATTGAAAGATACGATAGTTAAGCCTTCAATATATTATTAAATATATTATCGTACTATGAAACTGGAGCCAGTAATCTTAATGAAATAGCATAAGTAGCATGTGTAAATAAATATTTATAATACTATTTAGTAAAACATAGTATACTACATTATCGTGACTCGGTGGCCTAGTGAATAACGCTCGGGGGTTTGAAGTGACCAGACCTGGACTCGAGTCTTGGTGGCAACATCACTCACTGAGAGGGAGATACATCCAGCTGACGAATCCCAAGTACAATGAAACGTGCGTCCTGGATCTCACTCCTAGTCACTATCCTTCAATCACATTGTACACTACAGTCTAAACAGATATGAAATAAAAGTGTCGATCTAATCTGATAAATTCGAAAAAAATGAACTGAAATATTGGTCAAGAAATATCATACAGTCCTTTTCTCTTCCTTTTTAGAACCCAAAAACATACATTTATCACACAAATATTGGGCACTGAGAAAAAGGTTGACATTAGATATCTGATAATCAGTTACCATGGTACACGCATCTTTATACTTGATTGAAAAAATATTTCTTTTTGATTAGCTTCTCATCAATAGTGTGTCGACTTTGAAACAATCGAAATCAACTGGCTGCATAAACCTAGGCAGCTGGAGTGGAGTCTGAACCCGCGACCAATTGGTTGAAAGTTGTCTCTTTTCTAAACCAATGACCGACAACTCCACTTTTGAACAATACAACACAACACACCAATCTGGTTATGGAAAGTTAGCTGTTAAAGGAAAAAAGAGTCACTGCTACTCAGCTTACTGTTTAATTAGCATTCCATTACGCTTTGAACAGTCAATCACCTATCACTAAATAAAAAGAAAATCAATGCTAACCAGGAGGTAAGGACGATATTTAGCTAATTCATGTCATGTTGAATGAATTCAACTGCTAGCTATAAACTTTAACACTTGTGCATAGCGCTGAGTACTTCGAACATACTGTCACATCTTCAAGTCTATGGAGTACAGGTGATTGGACATATGATGCACAATGCTTAGTAAATGTGTCACTACTATATGACTTTTAACCGACTTTAGTGAACGTCTTTAATTGGGCTAGTGCTTCTTCAGATGTGTGGATAAACTAACAGTTTGTTTCAGGTATCCGTACTTAAATTAACTAACAATCTTGTATTCTGCACTTTATCTTATCCATATTATCAGCACATGCTACAGAAATATAATTAACTATAATTGTCTTCAAGTTTAAATTCGAAAGTAACTCATGGTGTGAGAATAAAGCCAAATGGAACGCTAAGCGACTACAGTCAACTGGATGATTTTACTTGCAGCTTCTGTGAGGTAAAGTTACAGTTTGATATTTAAATGTCATTAGTACAACGTGATAAATGACATAATGAAGGACGTACTGTGATAATGAAAAAGAAGCACTTTCCAAGTTAAACTTGGGATTCGAAAAATCAAATCAAAGCCCATTCAACAACATTGTGCACGCTTGTATAGTAGGGAATGAACCACACAGATTGTATGAGGCCTAATGAGATTGTTACCTGGTTGCCCAAACTTCGGTAGGCGAAGCGGTTTTCGAACCCGTGACTCACTGCTTAAACCAATAAGGCGCAACTACAAATTTGCGCAGAGCGATGCAGAAAGGTAGGAACCAGTGGCTGATGAGTTTTGGTTACATGACTAGAAATTGGTAACAATGGTATTCACTCCATGACGTCTCCTACAGCTTGAGTGTTTTGAATAGCCCTCATTTTTAAACTCCTCCCGCAATACACCCTTTCCTACTTTGATATCAATCTTTTTCTATTTACATGCTTTTGTGAAGTGTGGTAACTTGAACCGAAGCTCTTGTGCGAGAGGATTTACAATGATTCTATCTGTCTACAGCTCCAACAGCTATACAATAACGGAGACAAACTGAACCAATAACTCTACAGTAGTCTGTTATATTCAAGCAACAAAACATTTTCGTGTTTGTCATAAACACAACACTTTATGACTAAAAAAGACATAGGTAATACCTACCTTCCCAATTGTGTATGCACTGGAACATTAACTGCACCGTGTTGAGCTGAACGTTTAACTGCCTCATTACTCTTGACAACTGTTTCAGTTAAATGGCCTCTAGCAGCCGCAATAATTTCCTCTTGCAAAGCGGTAGGTAATCCATCTAAACAAAATAGCGAAATAGGGGTTACAAATAGTTAATCACACAAACAATGATATAACAATATCGAGGCATTCAGGAAAATATTATTACTTTAATAAGAAACGTTTTACTGGCAAAAGAATAAGCAGTATTGGTAAGTGAAGGGACTCTAACAACTACCTAAAAAATGTTGAAATACTATCTGTATAAAGTTGACAAGTATGGAAGGAAAGTGGATAATTCCATTGTCATTATGCAACGTGACGCACCCCATCAACTTGACTTAATGTGCAGACGTGAAGTGTGGTAAAGCAAATAGATTGACGATTATGCTAGATCCTAGGTTTTTAATCACATGAAACAGGTTTTGGGTCATAGTAAGCTTTAGAATAAAACTCGGTCAACACCATTCTATTTCTTACAATTAGTTCCCTTTATAAATTTTTACAAAGCAAGAACAATAAACATTAAGGGATGAATCGAATTTATTTAGTGTTTTCTAAATCTTGTAGAGTTGCGGCTTATTACCGACCGCAAGAATGTGCACAAGACAGTTAACTGGATTTCATTCGTTTTCGCTCTAAATCTTCCACGTGAGCACTAAATCTAAAAGTGTGTACAGTAAGCTATGGGCGTCCAGTATAAGTTATTTGATATATTTCAATAGTAAAAACAACACTAAGTATACCATTCGCATCTAGACATGAATAACATTTATATAGGAACAGAGATGAATGATAAAGTCTACAACCTAACCAACCAATTGCATTTGCTGAAACTGTAGCGTAATGATAATTAAAAAAGTAAAGTACAATTCATCAAAGAAACTCTGTTACTCAGTTATTTTCAAATAATTTAAGCTGACCTTCATCACTGACCACGACAGATGGATGAGTAACCGTTGGCTCACTGACATCATCTGACTGCTTCGTCTCTTCAATAACATTAGCTTCTTCTTGAGTTGTATATGCAACAGAAGAGTTGTCAGTTTCGTCTGGTTGTGATTGTTGAATATTACTAACACATTTACTAGTATCAGTTGGAGTCACCTTTTGAGTCGGAATGGGTACAGGTACAGTCGGCTTCTTTGGCATATTTGGTTTAGCTGAAACACGAGTTTCTGTGATGTATTCGTCTTCATCATCTGATCTGTTGCATAACAATAGAAGAAACAAGTAATTGCTTGGAAAACCAAATTTTTAAAAATTCTGGAAACGGTGAAAAAACGTTAAAAGTAGTTCATAAATACTTGAGAGTGAAGAGATGCAATACTGCATATATAAGAATAGAGAGAGGCAAATCAAAATAGTACATATGGATTACTTCCAAGTATTACTACTAACCGTTGACTTTGTAGAAAATCAACAGCCATTTGATCGATTGACTGACCAATGGAAAACGTGATACGATAATAAAGTTTTAGTGAACTGTTAGCATCAGCAGTTACTCATAGTTGCTAAGACATGTTATTAAAGTTCAAATCTGTCAGGTGCATATTCAATTAATTCGCTAAAATGCATAAGTTAGCAAGTCCCGTTATCATTTGTTTATATCAGAAAGTATGCTACAGTTCACTTTTTATACACTGAGCAACCCCTCCTAGCAGTTGGGCATTTTCAGTAGTCATATGCGATATTGGCAACTGAAGTTTAACTGTATGAATGTGGAATCACCTAGACGATGCGGGAATAAAGTGATAAAACGGCTTAGCAAATAGTTAGTCACATAGAAGTTGCTTCTTCTATTAACCCATATGAATTATTTCTAATCAGAGTCAATTATGGAAATATAAACAAAATTTTATTGAAAGGCACTGATGTCACCATAAGTGTAAATCAACTTATGGTATGAAGCTTCACAATATGACTAGTAAAATAAACGTTATGCAGGACGATGAACAAAACTGATACACAATCGAGAGTGAAGAAAACTTAGCAAGAATTTAGCATAGAATATAAAAACGGGGAAATTCCCAAAATTCGTCAAAAGCACATGCAGTGCATGTTTTAGCTTGTAACATCCAGTAAGTAGTTGGACAAAACTGATCAGCTTCTATTACACACGGGCTCCTGAGTAATGCAGAAGTCAGAGATAGAGGTTCGAGGAGAGAAAAGCCGGTTGATGAGGTTGTGAACCTTCGTCAAATGAGATGGCTGAGATATGCCTAGTCACTCTCTGACTCGTCGCGCAATGTTGGCTGAAGTAGGTTCAGGTTGGAAAAAGACTAAGGACAGTCAGACTAAAACATGGCGTCACTGCATGAAAGTACTTGATTGCTGGTTTGAGCCGTGTAGGGAAGTGTAGATTTCCAGTTTTTGGGTCCACATGACAACAGAAACCAGTGATTAGAGACTCCAAGTGACATGGCTCAGAATTGATGTTAGTAGCGCACACTAACTTTACCTTAGTCACCATTTTCTCACTCGCCTTCCTCTCTTTTATTGCTTTCTACTACTTTTGGCCGATTCTTCTCTGTTTCTTTACCTTTCATCTTACTGCTTTGTTGCCTGATGTGCTGACATGAGGTGTGGACAGCTACGCAGTAACGCTTGATCCAATGCTGAAATTAATAATAAAATACTCAACAACCAACCAAAGTGTTTGACAATAGAAAGGAAGAAAAGAGGGGAAATCTTCACAAGCAGCTATACCTCAAAAAGATAGTTACTGATCTTAAAGCGCTTACATAAGCACAAAACCGTATTCAAAGAACATAAGCGATTTACCAAAAGTAATAGCAATTAATGAAAAAAAAAGTACTAATACGTCAGGGAAATACGTTACGCGAAAACAGTCCGAAAAGGCAAAGAATTTAAAATAAATTATTTAAGATCAGAAAAACGAATAAGGAAGGGGAAATCATCTGACTAACTGAAACAATAGCTGTACATAGCTTATAATCCATTAGTTTGTTCTATTTCAGAACCGATAAGGTAATATCAACTCAAAAGTACTGTTATAAACTTACCCTTTTTTACTCTCTAAGATTTGTAAATGCTGTTCCATGGCTTGAATGACTTTTTCTGGAACCTGATAAAATAAAACATAATAAAGTAAGTAGTGGCTTATATAACTAGGTCTGCAGCTGAACCAACACAAATAGACTTTGTTTAACAAAGAGTCAATAGTGCGTTTTTGTTTCCGTGCTTAGTCCACCATAACCTACCGGTGGTGATGTCACTTCACAGGGTTAATGAACTGGCCAAACACACTTCACATCCTATTGTCAAACAAGTCGTTATTGTAGACTACTTCTCAGGCCAAAAATTCCATTTGAAACGCTTAAATTGTCGGTTGACTTATCCAGAAGACTGCATCTTGTCGGTCTATGCGTTTAACACGTCTAAACATCTTAACATCGTTACTTAGCGTACTCAAACTGCATTCTGCTATTTAAAATGGCTGTTTCGCATTCATACTCAAAATCTACTGAGTGAGTAATTTCTGACAACCAGAATTTAGAGGAATATGTGACCAGCGGCAGTACACCTACGACACATGAATAAAAACAAAGATATTGGACACTGCAAAAAAACATTATTGATCGAGGTAGATACCCCGATGACATCATTAAAAATCCTACAACATGAGTAGACGTTTACGTGAAAAGCCTTCATTAGTGTAATGTACTTGCCAAACCCTGCTAGTTAACCTTAGAGTCAACAGAAACTCTGCAACTGAGATACAAAACAGTGTCACAGTCAACAATAAACAGACAGATGAACAGGTAAAAACAATGTAGAACCTCGTACACAAGTGTATCCGTTTGGCTAGCCGCAATTCACAATAGAACACAAAGAACAGCAAGATAGAATCAGAGTGATATCAAAGTAGATAGTCAGGGACTTCATGGACTGGTGCCACGTCTTGGTCTGGTCACTCTGGACCCTCTTCCAACCTACTCCAACTTCCCTTAGCATAAGACGTTGAGGTGTGCGGCGGATAGGCTTGTGCAACAAATCCAATCCACCTCATACGATGAGGGTCCAAAACTTCATAAATCAACTTCCCTTTCTTGCCTAGTACCCTTTGCCTGACATTGCTCACACGGTGATTCCACAAAACGCCAGCAGTGCTACGAAGACATTTGTGATCAAAACCCTGCAGCTACTTCATATCTACTTTTAACGGCCAGGTCTCACGGACGTATAACTCGACCAAACGAACTGCAGTGCAGTATATTCATCCTTTGATAGATAGTCGCATATCTTGCCAGTCGGCGCCAAAGGTGACAAAAGTTGGAGAATGCCAAACGGGCCTTATGTATCCGAATTGATGTTTTGTCAGAGACCAGACCGTTCGGGCTTTTGCGACTACCCCGGTAAGTGAAGTGGTCGATACATTTAACCACTTCACTCCCTATTATCAAACTGAGACCAGCTGTAATCCACTTCTGGAGCATCATCTGGTAATTGACAGCTGCCAGGTGCATGCCAAACACACTTAGATTTCTGCTCAATACGTTCACGAGACCCTGCATTCTGTTAGCGTATACGTCGTCTGTGTACACAAAGTCTACCAGATGACCCCTAGGGAGTGGATCAATACCTGTGAAATCAGACGTACCTAAGGTTATTTCCATTAGTACGTCTATAACGAAGTTAAATAGAAAAGATGACAGCTGGTGACCCTGGCAAACACTAGTTGTTGTCAATTCATATGAAAACTCTCCATAAGCCTTAACACGGCTGCGTGAGTTCGAAAAGAGAGCTTTGATTAGCGTTATATACTTGCTCGGTACTCCCTTCACAGTGAAACATTGCCACAGCATCTCACAGTCGACAGAGTCAAATCCTGCCTTCAAGTCAAGATATACGGCGAATTTCGCCCACCAGTAGGTATGCTTGTGTTGCATGACTTCTCGAAGAGCGAATATCTGATCGATGCATCCTCATCCAGGTCTGAAACCCACCTGGTCTTCTCGACATCCAGTTAGGCGTTGGGTAACTATGGATCCTGGGATATTCAACACAATATTGGTTGTTACAAGGAGATTTCTCCCCCCTTTCTATAGACTGAGATGATCAATGAAGTGGATTAGTTTGACGGTACTACCTCTGATTCTCATACATTACCTAGTACCTACATCACTTTAATTATCGATTTCCTACCACCTTCCTTAAAAACTTCAGGTGGCAAACTGTCAGATCCTGCTGTTTCCTATCGTTTCACCTTCAATATAGCCTTGTCGACCTCAAAAACTGTTGGAGGACAGACATCTACATTCCATTAGGGTTCAAGGCTGGATGCTGGGCAACAAGCGTTGCTGGTGGTCAGTCGAACTATGCTTCAGAGTGTTCTGCCAAAAGTTCTAGCTGCCTGTCCTCGAGGTTTTCAGGTTACCATTCTTTTCGGTGGTGGTTTTACTAACCATCGTTTCCTTCTTCTCGGTATCATAATAAGCCTAAATAGTTGCCGAGCGTTACCCACCGCTGAAGCCTTCTCCATCTCTCTCGCTAATGTTCGCGATCATTGCGAAGACTCCTGGTCAGTCTGCGTGTAAGTCACTTTCGTTTTTCACTGTGCTCTGAGCCAGCTGGAATCAGTCTTCTCGTGTCAATCAGTTCGGGTGACGTCGCGGAACTCCAATGACGTTTGCTAACCTTCGGGTGTAGGTTATTAATTGTCTTAACCACTGTTTCTATAGCAGACTTAATATCATGCCAGGTTTCTTCAGGATGAGCATTACTGCCAAGTTCAGATAAACGATTAGCTAGTTCCCCCCTGAATACGTACTTGGAGTCTTTATCATCTAGTTGAGAATAACAATAAGCAAGACGTATCCGACGATTCTGACTTGACCATAGTTATGGTAGTCATGGGCGTCAAAAACCAAAACAACGAAGTCATCTAATTTTAAGTTTGAGTACGATCCCTAAGTATAGTGCAACACACCTAATCAACAGACATTATATAGCACTGGATAGTTTTCCACCACCAAATACCTTCACTAAATAGTACATTCTAACACGATGGAGTTACTTTGATGCTTATAAAGCTCAGACTTACAATTAGGTGAAGAAATTGAACTAGTGACCCGCGAGATGCTGAATTTAAGCTTCTAAGAAGATAAACGTTTTCGCAAGGAAAATTGATTATCAGTTTGATAATTTCCTCTTCTTTTTCGTGACCAACTCTATACTGTCAAAGCGTCAATGTCATAAATCAAAGAAGTTATCTTTGAAGCAAGTCGCGTGACATCTAAACTCATCACTACCAGCTTGAACTCCTATTCGCGTCGAACGCGGTATCAAAATAAACAACCTACCTACCATATACTTCCAGTAACTTGTATTTAGGATGTCGACTGTCATTTACCGTCACTACTATACAGTCGCATATCAACATGCAGATGAATTTCCCCTAGAAGACGTAAATATTTACACTGAAAGTGTAAACAGATATACTACAACCAATCGAAAATATATTGTCAATCAATAGTGTCAAAGCTATGGAGTCTTCGATGAATTTTGGTTCCCTCTAAAAGTCATTTCTTCAACACTACAGATTCGCTAAATTTGGTGAATTACCCACCTTGCATTGTAGTAGGATAAATATCCCTTGCTTACTCTGACTGTTGGTCTGAGCCGTGTAGACGATGGAGCAGGCTACCACACTGGCGTCCTCGAGAGGATAGGAATCAGTGGTTGAAGACTGTTAATGAAATGGCAGAAAATCGGTCACAATGGCGCAGATGTATTCACTCATTGATGTCTCCTAAAGTTCAAGTGTTTTAACTATAACCTAATTTTTAAATCTCCTACGTTCCTAGACACCTCTATCTCCTTTAAAATCAGTCGTTCTCATTCACTTGTTCGGTGCATACTACTATCAAGTATGGCAACTTGAACCGATGCATTTTCATGCGAGGTTCTACGCTGATTTTTCTGCCTTGTCTGAGAAACAGTCGGTAAAATATTCGTTTAAAAAAGAATAAATTATATAGCTGATAAGTGAAACCTACCGGTTGTAACCCAAGACTATCCTTGTCACCGATTCCTAAACTCTATGAAAGAAAGAAAGTCGGTAGTTTAGACAACAGGAACATGTGCACTAAGTATTAAATAGAAAAAGTTCAAAATTCTACACAATGACACTGAGAAAACTTATGAACACCAAATAACCCTAGAAACAAAGTCTCTTAGAAACTAAATAAACAGCTTGTATAATTTTAGACCTTCATTATTCTAGGACGGAAAATAAAGAATAGAAAAAATGAACATTCCGTTCGTCATTCAGACATAACTCTGCCGTGCCCTGAAATAAACTCAAGTCAAGCTTTCAAGGAAATCAGTCGACTTCAGTGTAGTTTCCAGAGACAACACAACAAAGTGATGTAACCAGACCAAAAAAGCAGAAAACAGTTTTTTTCGAACATAATGCATAAGAGTAATGAAGATTGTCAATCACGAATGTGTGTATCGCGGCAAACGATACTACCCAGCTAGCTTATACCGATATAGTGACAAAGTTCTTTGGTTGCTGGTGGGTACCTGGGCCAATGAACGACAGTACCAACCAAATAGCTGCACAAATAATTATTATTGGACAGGCAACATAGAAACCTATAAACTACTAATCATCAAATAACCTTGTATAATAACCTAAGTGACACCACTTAATTCTTCTCTAGATTAAGCATACACTCGCTAGGTGTTAACAGCAAAAAGCTGTATGACCAAAAAGTATCGGTTGGCGCAAGTTGACTTTCCAACACAAACTGACGATACTATATCCAAATTAAATAAATAAATAGGCATACCTCAGCAAGTGCGAGGAATTCTGTCAGCTTGGATAACAATCCAGGGAACGCATGATATAAATCCAATCCCAGACGACACTGTCTTCGTTTAAGAGTGAAATATTTCTCTATCAGAAAAAGGTAAATACACAAAATGAATAACTCGGTGAAACCCATTACATGTATACGAAGACAATAAAAGCATACATACTATTCAATAAGTGCACTTAACATACTAACTGTTTTGTAGTAGTAAGAAAATATTATAAGGCTTTTCCGGCTGTATCAAGATAATAATAAGACTCAGCAAACGCATGCTGTTTTTGTTAACAAGGTCACACTATGCTCAATATGTAAAGGCTAATAACGCTACGTGGTCACGTAAACCTTAGAGCAGTGTTCCTTCCCGTGGCTAACTACTTGAAAATCGAATCCTAAGGAGGTATAAGGTGGGGTTGACTACTGAACGGTATTAGATTTCAGGAAATCAAAATAAAATTATTGAAAGAAATAGTGTAAATGATCACCGCTTTAAAATTTGACAGCATAAAGCAGAGAAAAAGGGCATCCACCTGTTAATGAAACCAATCTTGTATTTACCAGGTCACTAGTTTTAAACGAAAAAAAGGTTAGACGAAATACCTAATAAAACACGTAAAGCTACGCTATAATTCAAAGTTGAAAGACAAAAAGTACCTAAGCATAAGTAACCATAGTAAGCTGCTATGAGTAACACAGATGGGGGCTGATAGATAAAACGTGTATAAAAGTGTGTCGACCAAACTTGCCACAATTCACAATAGTACATAACATTGGAGTGAAGAGAAATAGTGTAATGATCTGACAAAATACACTATTGAATATTATCAGTAGTAAGAAACCACTCACACTGATTTGTGTACTTTGCTGGCAAAATCAGAGGGATCTATTTGAAAATACACACCTGGTTCCAGTAATATGGGAAATATGTGGAGCTGCAGATCATTAGTTTAAGATGACTTTTAACCCATGGGTCTTAGGTCCGAGCACCGTTCCACCTACCGAGGTTCGGACAGGCAGAGAGCATACTTAGCCCTCACACAATATATGTAGCTTATTGTCTTCTGCACGAATGTGCACAAAATTGTAGAGTGCATTTCGACTGCGATTTCGAATGTGGGGAACGTGTATATGAACTATGCAATTTGCAAACTGGTCATCCTATTTAAGGCATAGCAGTTCATGAAAGTTAGCTAGCCGGATCCAACTGATCTGAATAATTTGTGTCTGTGAGCTAATTTGTTCGGGTACATCGACGAGGCTGGATTAGGTTGCAAGAGGGTTCAGGGGGGCCAGTCCGAGACCTGGCACAAGTCGATGAAGTCTCTGACTGGCTGTTTGAGGCGCGTGAGGAGATCCAGATTGTCTGACTAGGATTATCAAAATGATAGAAACACGGTTGACACCTGGTGACATGGTGGAAAATCGGTCACAATGATGCAGATGTATTCACTCCTTGACATACGAAGCTTGAATATTCGTGCTACCCTTTATCTTCAAGTCGTTTATTCCCTCACACAACTTCTACTTTGGTATCAGCCTTTTTCTACCTACCTGTTTTTGTATGCTACTGTGAAGTGTAGCTAGTTGAACAGATGCAATTATGTGAGAGGTTCTACTTTGATTGTCTGTTTGCCTAACATAGGTGATGAACTCGGCCTTAAACGAGCAACATAGTTGCAAAGCGTTCAGGTCATTCTGATGATCTGGTTGGTGGAACCTGCAGATTAGTGTGAGCGGTTTTCTAACTATCCATATTAAGTGGTATAAATATTGTTGTTGAAATATGTACACGCATCAGCTGACCAGCAGCAGTTCGGCCTTTTGAAATTTTTTCAGTTGGGTTCTGATGTAGTCACTGTTTGTTTATAGTACGTCAATAGTATATAAGTAGTGAGCAAACGTGTGAAACCCAACTACCTAGTCCAGTTAGTAGTCGAGTAAACGTCACTACAACAATTTACGTCTGCACAATAGAAGATATTTACGAACCTTCTATAGCTTTAAAGTGTGAAATATCGGATAGCAGACAGATAAGTAGTAAAATGCTCAAGACGAAACATTGAGGATTCCATGTGTGATCCTACAGAGTATTTGCTTCTTTGCTAACCAGTTAAAAGTTGTTATTCAAACGACTTCCGTTCACAGAGAATACCGTGAATTATTTGCAAACGCAAGAAAGGAACGGATTAATGTATTTTAAGCAAAAGTTTACTCACGATGATAAGTATTTATTTTGATAATATTTTGAGCGAAATTAATCCCCGTGATTACACCAACAGATGGAAGTTCTTAAAAATATTTATTCACACATTTACCAATAGGTGCCATCTTTATTATTATTATTTTTCCCTTGGGTTCCTAGTGGAACATGGGGCTTCAGTAGCACGTCTCCACTACACTCTCTTCTCAGCAGGCTTTTCAACCTGTCGCCACGACTGTCCACAAGCTTTTATTTCTTCTTCACATCATCTCCTTCATGTCACCCTCGACCCGGACACTCAGCTGGTCGTTTCCCCTTTGGATTCCACTCGAGCATCTGCCTGGCGCGTGATGTCCCCAGTCGGCCTTCTCAATGTATGCCCAATCCATCTCCACTTTATTCCACTGCATATTTGTTTAGCGATAGGTTTACCAGAGTTCCTTGTTGCTTATTCTTTATGAACATCTGATCTTCAGTATCGAGCATAGGCAGCTGTTGATGAATGTTTGTAATTTGTTGGAAATGCTTTTCGTGACACGCCAAGTTTCTGAACAATACAGAAGCACTGCCTTGACACTGGTGTTGAAAATCCGGATCTTGTTCCTTGTGCTGAGTGCAGTAGACCTCCATACAGACTTAAGATTAATGAAAGCCTGTCTTGCTTTTCCTATCCTGATTTTGACATTCTCGTCTGTGCTGCCTGTAGTTGAAACGATGCTACCTAGGTAGGTGAAAGAGACAACCTCCTTTAGGTTTCTCCCGTTAATGGTGATTGGTGCCTCTTGTTGGTTGGGTATCATCACCTCTGTTTTCTCTGCGTTCACTTGAAGTCCAGTCTTCGCTGCCCTGTCTATTCTGTCAAATTGTTAGTTTTCGCCTGTAGATCTTCGAGTTTGTGCGACATTAAACATAAATCATCGGTTAAATTCAAATCTTCTAGGGTCTTCTCATCGGTTCGGCATATGCCCATCTTCTTGCTCCTCACGGTTTGCTGCATGATCCAGTCCACCACAATCAGGAAGATCATGGGTGATAGTAGGCAGCCTTGTCTTACGCCAGATACATAGTCTTTCTTTACTGTTCATTAGTGTGTTAGTTCAATACAATATTCCATAAGGTTGACACCTGTGTCCAGCCATCTTCATTGGATTTTTTAGGGGTGAGATGTACAAACATTGAATCAGTTATTACTCTTTCCTTCTTTCTATTTGCTTTTGTTAGGCTTCAATATGGTAGTGGACTGTTGCTAACCACTATCCATCAATAATGACGAAATTTAGCACAGTAAGGTTCATCGTCTTATGCTTGAGTTGCTATCGATGAACTTTCCGTAAAAATTTTGTACTTTTGTCGCTCTGTGGGCTGACCTTTGGTTAATCTTTCATGTTCATTCTAGCTGGTTCTCAAAGATCTTGGTATTTGTCCTACGTAGCTTATTGCACAGTCTGCGTGCTGTGTTTTATACACTAAATAATTCTTGTCCAATTTTTTACCCAGATCTTTTCGTTAGTTATCATGAGATTAATTGGTTGAAATTCTGTGGAAATACCATCCCTTTTAAGATTTCTCCTAATTTGAACTTGATGGATAATAGCTAGCAGTGGAATCCACGACACGCATTTCGTTTCACTTAGGACTCGTTAGCCGTACCTATCTCCACGTGAGCGATGTTGTTCCCGTTAAGACTCGAACCCAGGACCAACGGCTGCAAAGGCCGGTGTTACTCACTAAGCCACCGAGTCATGGTACCCACTTCTTGCGCTACGGGTAATTTTTATTTTTTTTACTTTCATTATCCCGTTGTTGACTGGACCGAATTGATCGGTTGTCATTAGCATATAGGCTCCGACACCCAACATAAAAACCAAACGCATCGCATAAAAAGTGGCCATCATGACCCGGTGGCCTAGTGGATAGAGCTCCAGCGTTTGAAGAGGCCGGCCAAGAGTCCGAGTCCTGGTGGGAACAACATCGTTCACTGGGAGGCGGGTACAGCTGACGAGTCCCAAATAGGACGAAACGCACGTCCTGGGTTCCACCGCTAGCCACTATCCATCATCAAATTGAAACACAGGCGATATCTAGACATCCACGTAGGAGCCCATATATCAATAGAGACCGACCAATTTGATCCAGTCAAACGACGGGATAATACAAGTACCAACATTCTTCTAATTGCCTTTGATGCACCTTTTTGGTATGGTAATACTACTGCATTTTAGTAAACTGTTTTATAAAATCCTGTTTTTAAATTGTTTTTCTTCTTCTTGACGTTATCTTTTGAACTGCGCTGTATAATGACTCTTTAATAACATTCATCTCTCTTTGTTGGTCATCAGAGCACCCAAATGTGAGGATAAATATTATTAAAAAATTACAACTGTTGGTGTGACCACTCACTCGAAATATTACCGAAATAAAAACTTATCATTGTGTGCAAACTTTTCATGAAAAGCTCATAATGTAGATACAATAAATGATTATATTTATCATGATAGACAAGTGTTGAATAGTCACCACCTACCTATCAAGTTAATCATACCCTCGTTGTATGATGCAAACAGTCGGATTAGATCCTTGTACAACAGAAGAAAGGCGGCATTGATAATTGCGTTGTTCAGATCTTTTTCTAAAGCCTACGAAAATATAAATTGACATTGACAACTTAAATCTAAGCAGGAACAAACGGCTGACGTTCACACACATGAACATATCATTGACTAGTCAGTCGCAGGATGAGTAAAATAACTTGAATGTCAATAACAAATAATAACAACAATAATACAGTAATAATGATAATGTGAGGAGTAGCAGTAATAGTTGTGATCACAATCATAACAACTAATCCAACTCGGTAGCTGTGTACAACTTTGTATAGCGGGGGCTATGAGTCACACTTATTCTCTGAGAATTAATTGATCTACTTATGTCAATACTCTGGGAAATGGAGCGAGTTTCCGAACATTGACTCATTTGTCAGTCACGTACACCAACCCTTACAAACATCACACTAAATTCTAAAAATATGCCAACATATTCAATGACTTACATCAAATTCTAGAAGCGTTAATATCTGTGACTGCATCACTGGAAGAGCCTTCAGAAGCTGGAAAAGACATCAAAACAAAATGAGATATGTATAGACACTGGTGAAGTTACCAGTCGAATCACTAACTAATTATTGACAAGTAATAAATTTCTTCCCTCTACCATATTACTATTATTATTATTGTTATTATTATTATTCTAGATATTGACTAAAACAAGCACATACTCGACTTTTCCCATTTCCCACATTTATCTATACAAATGAGGTGTAGTGACGGTTGACCACTTAAGTAACAGATTATCGTTCCACAAAAGGGTGTCAGTTCTAGTTGCCACACTTTACAACAGCGCACAAAATGGAACGGAAACAAAAAGGCATTAAGATAAGAAGAATATGAAAAATGAAAGCAAAAATGCAACTGAGATCGATTCTGAAACAGAATTTCACTAACTTTTGATTCCTAGTATTTCAATACCCCCAATAAAGTGATCTGAAACTTCCTACACCAATGAAACAAACAGCCAACGAAATCACGATTCGATGCTATATCATGGCCTGGTGCCCTTAACTTTCTTCCAATCTACTTCGGTTGATATTGAGTGTGAAGACAGGTGGTGGCTAAGTTTGCGAAAAACCTGTGAATGTTTGCAACCTTATTGGCTGACTTGCGTTAGTTACCAAGAAAATCACGTCCAACCGCATAATTTCTCACTTTTTGGTCCACAACATATGGGAAACACCTAAAATCCGTCCATGAATACAACTGTACGGCGGAACAAAGAAGGCTACAGTACAGCGGGCTTTCACTCCGGTGAGTAGTCAGATATCTCACCTGCGACACAATTATGTAGATTATCAAGTGCCAAGAGTGACTTTTGTGTGCTGAAATTTTACCAGAGCAATCACAAAGTGATACTTTACATAACAGTTAAAAAGACAACAAAGTGACTTGTCCATCAATAAGGTTACAGTAAACACTTGAAGACAGGACTGACTTGCCAGCGAAACTATCATTGTTTTGATTTAAAAGGAAAGAAATGCTTAAAACAATCGCTGTGACAAGCTCGCAACTCAAGAACGCAACAGCAAAAAGACTTCATGTTAGTGTCACAAAGTCTTGTGATATGCACACATGAAACTTACTAGTCTAGCTGGTAGGTGGAAAAAGACTGTATACAGAACTTCACTAGAGTTTCATATTCAGTTCTAGATTGATTGACCCCAGAGACAGAGACAAACTTGAATATGTGGCTAGAAATCACATTTTCTGAATCGATAAATGAAAAACAACTAACTTTAATGCTTCTATCTCTTAAAGTCAAAAGTAATACTAATTTGCAGAATATTTCTTGCTACCTATGGTATTACAAGTTTAGCTTTAAAATAAGTAACACGAAATACTAGTTTCTAACAATACTGAATATACAATGCATCGTTCCACTGATCTTTGTCAGATGAGAACAGTACACCCTACTGTCCAATATTTTTATTGATATACAGTGGCGATTATAAATATCTTTGACGAAATCACTTTTCAGTGCTGTTGTACGAAATTTGAACGTCTCTTCAGACGTTTTGCTTAAAAGTAAAATACAAAGTTGGTATAGTCATTATTTGGAATGTACGCTTGAAAACCTCTCTCAGACAATTAAGTTCAAAAAGTCACCATATTCTTTACAATTATTGAATACCTAAGTTGAAATGATTGTTTGAAAAAAATTTGGTATTAGGTATATGATATTCATCATTCCGCAGTGGATGAGAAACAAAGTTGTCTTGTTTTTAATTCATTAGGAAACACAAATACGAAAAACAGAAAACATTTCTTAAAAACCTTTCGGGGTGTCTAATATATTCGCTTTATGCAGCACTATTTGAATTTCCCAAGTCTACACAGAGAGTGAAAATAGAAGATAAATCTATTCTTTCTATTACAACGACCACGAAAATAATTTTTACACAAACTTTCTCTATGCAAACTCATGCTAAAACAAGGTGTGGCTAGTTCTATAGCACTTAACACGATGACTGCATTGTAATACTGACCTTATTGCTTCGACAATTTATGTTGACTGTACACAACGACTTACTTGGCTTAGACAGATATGGTTCATGTCATGTCCAGCCACGTAAAATCACCACGATCTGGGAATGAATGCAGTAACAAACAAGTTCTACCACTCACTAATGTGTCAGGGTATTGGGGTCACACTATTATCACTCTAATTAGAATCTGAGAGATAACTAAATGGTTACTGAACAAAAATGATGCACTGGCTTGAGTAAAATGAACCCAGAGGAGGTACAAAGAAAACTATCACTTAAGAAAGACCTGATTACCTAACAAACAAACCTTCTACTAGAAATAATGAACACAACTTTCAGTTACTTAGAACCACAGCAAAGGAAGATAAAGTACACGAATAAAAGTTGACTACGAGGAGTGACTACATATAGATGGTCCACAACACAAACAACACAACATTGATTACCTTGTCGACCGGCATCGTCCTCAAGACCCCATCATCACGTCTGTGAGAAATAAAACTAGTTAGCTGAACAGTCATGTGATCTTAAAACTAGACAATCTAAAAAGAAATTCTGAGTTACCTACCTCCGGAAATCAAGCTTTCGATACTCATTCACACGTGTAAGAATGAGAGTGATAAAGCTCAACTTTGCGTTAAACTTAAGTGGTTCCAACGCTGGTTATACAAAATGGCTATGTAGTCACCAAACATATTTACGAAAAGGAAGTGAATGGCATCTATTGACACTGATGTTATTAGACTTCTCAAGCAGAGGTAGAGAGAAGACGGCTAATAAATGTAATAGCATAACTAAACGTTATGCAGCAAAACCACTAAGCAATACACTAATAAGCCATAGTCTGAGTTGCTATGTACACTTCAAATTTGATCAACAATATTGACCGTAAAAACCCACCACACAATTACATCATCATTATCAACATAGGACCAGGCATTACTGCGTAACGGTCCGAGTTGCCACACCTCATATCAGCACATCAAGTAAAAAGGTAGTGAGGTGAAGGATGAAGATAAGTGAATGCAGTCAAAAGAAATATAAAGTACGAAAGAAAAGAAAGAGGAGTGACAAAATGGTGAGATTCGGTATAGCGTTGTTAAGATGAGGATAATGTGTGTATACATCTGCGCCACTGACTTCGGTTCTGAGCCATATCACCTAGGGTCTCCAACCACTGGTTCCTCTTGTCCCGTGGACCCCAACCACCTAGTCTGCATCGTCCTACATGGCTTAAACCAACAGTCAGAGACTTCATACATTGGTGCCATGTTTTAGTCTGGCCACCTCGGGCCTTTTTCCAGCCTGGACCCACCTCAGCCAACATTGTGTGACGAGGCAATCGGTGACTAGGCATACGTAGTACGTGTCCCAACCATCTCAGTCGATGAAGGTTCACAACCTCGTCAACTGACTTACCTCTTCTCCCCAAAACTCTACACCTAACTTCTGCATTACTCATGTGGTGACACCACGGAATACGTCCTATACTACGAAGGCAACGGTGGTCAAACACCTGAAGCCTTTTTGTATCCTCCACTTTCAATGGCCATGTTTCACAGCCATACAGTAGAACAGAGCGGACTGCTGTGCAGTACACGCGACCCTTAATAGACAAACGAATATCACGGCGGCGCCATAGGTGGCGCAAATTGGCAAAAGCCAATCGAGCCTTTTGTATCCGTGCAGAAATCTCATCGGCAACTAACCCACAGGGTTGATCCTACTTCCCAGGTAAGTGAAGTGGTCAACACACTCAACCACTTCACTCTCTATTGTTAACCGCGGTACCGCTGAAGACCAGTCCTGGAGCAAAAATTTGCATTTGGGTGGTGAAAATCGCATCCCAAACATTCTCAAATTCCCACTCAAAGTGTTCAGAAGACTCTGCATCTTGTCAGCGTCTTCACCTAACAGGACTATGTCATCTGCATATTCTAGATCTAAAGAAAATTCACCTGTGATCGGTCAACGTCTGTGTAATTAGGTGACGAGAGGGAAACCTCCATAAGAATATCTATGATAAAATTAAATAAGAATGGGGATAGTGGGCATCCTTGACGGACACCACTTGATGAGTATAGCTCCCTGGACAACTCACCATAGGCTCTAACACACCCACAAGTGTTCGAGTAGAGAGCTTTCAATAAGGTGATGTACTTACTAGGCACGCCTTTCAGTGACAGACACTGCCATAAGACTTCTCGATCAACGGAGTCAAATGCCGCCTTCAGGTCGAGAAATACAGCTATTGTCGGGCGTCTGTAAGCATGCCTATGTTCCAGGACCTGGCGCAGTGTGAATATTTGGTCGATACATCCACGGCCAGGTCTAAAGCCTGCCTGGTTTTCTCGGGCTTGCTGTTCCCGAGCTCCACTCAGGCGTCGGAGAATTATAGAACTTAGGATCTTAGACACTATGTTCGTCAGGCTGATTCCTCTGTGGTTATCACAAGAGGACTTCTCGCCTTTCTTGAAGACTGGGATAATGAGTGACTTAGACCAGTCGAAATTTCGAACTTATGCAGCTTAGATATTGACAAACTTCAGATTTCTTAAGGCATGTAATGCACAACACAAGACCAAGTCAAGTTATGATCATAACAATTCTACCGGTTTTTATTGACTCAACTGACTTTCACGTACGAGTGAAAACCAAACTAGCGTATATCTAAAAAAGCTTCCTTACTGTAACATGGCAGCCACATTTAGCGCAAGCTGTTAAGAATCAGTTGAACATGATATTCACACCATTTTATACGACTAGTGATCTTCATTTTTGATGCAATCCACATTTAAGACATACAATCCTCGAAGTTTACTTCAGTGTGAACAGCCTGGAACAAATCTGTACTTTTTGTTTTATTAAGAACGTAACATATGCATCAAGAAATACGTCTTATGTGATAACATAAAAATGTGAAGACAAGAAAGTGATATAGGAAGGAAAAATAACGAGCGAAAATAGGAATGGGTTATGAAGGAAGCAGTCTCAAGCGTATATTCCGAGGCTTTCACTACTTACGCCTTACTTTTTAATCGAAGAAACAAGAAGGCTGTAGTATGATTGCAACTGGTTGCGACTCTAAACCATGTCTACTGTAGTCTCAAGCCGCTGAGTTGCATGTTCACCCAGATTTCACCCACAGAGTCTCAAGGGACCAACAGATGCCAACTCAATACGACTATTCTTCATCCCATGATGCTAGGTTATTCGCTGGGCACCTCGCCGCTTCTTACAAATAGTCCCAGCGTTAGGGGACAGTGAACAAGTCACTGCGACAACATTCATAGAGAATGTTCAGGCCACCGAAGCTAGTGTTTGAAGATGAATTTAATCAACGAATGACGACCTCCAACACGCACATACACACACTGCACATTTGAACTACTTAGATGCTTCCTCCGGATGCTGGCAATCCTACGGAAAAATCAATAATCGAAAGAAGTCATCAGAGGTGAGGTTCCACAGACGTAAGGCAGAAGTGCTGAAATTGACACGTTTTACTCCTAAAAGTTTGCAACTCTACCAACGGTGATCCAATCGGCGTATGACACTTGACCTCATGATATACGATTGAAAATCTCATCGGCCACACCCGTACCAGCACTCACTCAACTACCCATCAGATACATGATCTCGACTACTTCCAACATTCCAGCGCTAAAGATTACTGAAGGCAAATGCAAATTTTTTAAAAATCAGTTTGCACTTTGAAGGCGCAGGGTAAACACTATTCCTATAGACATATTGGTAGTTGAATAGCTTTTCTGTCGTAGTCAAACGATTTCGTCTATATGCTTAAAGTCGAAAAACTTCACCTATTATAGATCTACACCGCTACCACCTAAAGCTACTTCGAGAAAGTCATCGATGTGACAAATTCAGAAGAATAGCGAAACCAGACAGTCCCGTTGAACCTCGTCCGCTTAGAACAATGAATAGGTGATTGAATGCTTAGTTGTATACAGCATTCAGTGTTTTCAAAAAATCCTCGAACACCACTGCTTAACAGGCACTTCCAGAGCACATCCCTACCCAAGGAACCGAATGCAGCTTTAAGACCAAGAAACACGACTGTTAGCCGGCAATACGCGGGAAGACATTTGTGCATCTGAAAGGTGAACACGTATCACTGCATTCACGACTTGGGTAAAACCCAGCTTGCCCCCTCATGGATAAGCTTTTAACGTGGTTTGAAGAGCTGGCTGTGCAACGTTAACCAAAACTTTAGACCCTCAAAGTAACAGGCTGGCACCTCGAAGATCACATAGATTATGTAGACTTTTTAGAAAATGGTTACACCACTGGCTCAGTCTGCCGTACCTTTTCGATGATATTCTTACCTCGGTTCTTAAAAAAGTAAGCGTGGGTTTTATGGACCAGACCCTTTAGTTCTTAGTTCCTCAAAGATACCAAATTTGTTAGGAAGGTGGCTGTTTGATATGTGGATGGAGAGAATAGACTAGTCTAGAGAGGGACCAATCAAAATGTATTTCATGTTACCACGTATACAGGCAGACAAACAATGGATCAGTCAATCAATAGGATTTTAAATAGTGAACTACCTATATATTAGATATATTTCCCTTTGTTCTTGTCTTTGGTCTTTCGATCTCAATACATGTTTCAACATGTCCACCATGTCTTCCCAATTAATTAATCGGGTCTGGAATCAACTAGGAATTTGTTGGACGTTGGCGGCTGATGGTCGATATCTGTGTATCGTTAGCGGTCATAGCAGTTTTCGAATCATAACACTGTTAGCCAGCCATGATGCGAAAGACGCTAAATTCGACATTGCAGGAACAGTAAGCCGGCCAATTTGCTCTTCGAAGTGCTTCACCTAGCATTCTAGGCTTCCAAAAGCTGTTGATCGGTATATCATCTAATTCACTCAGTATGTCTTACACCGAGCTCCCCGATACCTGTGGCTCCGATGAGCCGGAACAACATCCACCACATGTGAAGGCGATATTGTGAACAACTGGCCGAATGGGAGAACTTCTAGACGATCAGTCATCAGATGAAATCTGAATGGTGCATATAGACTACAATTAAGCTGACATGAAAACTATTTCGACCCAACTGTCCAACCTTCTTCACATGTAGCAATGGTAACTATTACTGGACGGATAAACTATGGAACGGTTTATTTTTTGACGACGTGTACCGCTAATTAAACGCCAAAACCTCGAAAAAAAGTGGTTTGAATCGACTCGATAAGAACTTGTATCTAACGGCGAGACCACAGCCTTATAGTGCTTAAAAGTGATAGCAGTAAAAAGCACCTGCTACGACTGCGAATGCAAATGAATACTAACTTCCCCAGTGTGGAATTAAAGAAGCATAGTGGGTTTAAATAAGATAACTTACCCACGTTTTACTTTGCAAAAATCAAAAGCCATAGCCCTGTACGAGGCGATCTTCTCACTCAAGTATTTCGAGTATTTGCGAATAAACAAAGACATTTCATAAGCTAAAAGTTATAATTTGTTACAAAATGAAGCCTGCATACATTGTGAACTTGTTTTATCGTTAAAACTAGGTAGGTCGACCGGACAATTGTTTGAAGCAAGATAATGTGAAAATTTCTGCAAAAACATAAGGATGTGAAACATTTTCCTACCTCGTTACCGAAATTCATAAGATTGTGAGTAGTTATCAGTGCCTTGAACACAATAACCCACGATTTTTCCTGAGTGCGTTCGACGAGTAATCCAGCAAGTAGAGGGATCGAGACATTAGGTTCATTACTGCAGTTAACCAGATCTGCTGAATTTGTGCATTTTGAAAGAAAACATACAGTCAATATGTTTTTTCTTTGGAGCCCCAATTTCTTCGGTAGTCGCCTTTGCAACAACCTTACCCAAACCAGAACCTGCCAAGCTGTACTTTGCTTGTGTGACTCTGTCCATCAAACTCTGGCCCGTACCACTTCCCGCTAGCTGCTTAACAACCTTGCTAGCAGCTTTTGCTGTCATTTCTACAGATAGTGCGAAATCTGAATTACCCACTTTCAGACACAATCTGAAATGGTGTTCAAAGTCAAACGTATCCAATATCTTTTTACGAGCTAGTGTATACCAATTAATCTCTTCGCGCTCGCTTCTAGGTCTCGCGGAACGGTTCCAGGTCTTTGGTGGGTTCCAATGCAATAGGTCTACCCACTCGACTGCCATACTTCTGGTTAGCCCGACGGGCGTTTGGGTGTTGGTTAAATTTGTAGTGTTATTGTTTGTTCTTTTTTTCTTCCCAGGACTGCGGTGCAGACGGGTTCCTCAAGTGTTGCACCAGCAGACAATAGGTCGGACTGGTTGTATAAAGGAGATGGAGAATAAGTCCAAAGAGATCAAGGGAGAGGAAGTGCAAAGAAAAACAAATAGAAGAAAAGACGATCAGGAAAAAAGAAAAGTAAAGTCCGTAGGAAGAGAAGCAAATGACATTATAGGACGGGTTATGAAAATATAGATAATTCTATTAGTAGGAGACGGTAACTGGAAGCGACATCGATGGGGAAGTGTAAGGTTGACCCAGGATCCTAGTGATAGCGGTGTTAAGAGTATTCGATAATGGGTTGGCCGTGATGAGCTAGTAGGCCGTGTCAGCCCAGTCCAAATCTCAGCCGGATGGGCGCAAACCGTGTGTCGCTGCGTGACTGTCTACCTTCTGAAGCTGTCAACGGGCGGAGCAGCAGTAATCTCGGTAGACAATGCTTTCCAGTGGCCGCAAACTCGCAGGGAAGAAGTGTGATTGCACACTGGTTTTCACCCTCTGATGGGCGATTCTCCTTGGGCTATCACGAGGATCGCCATTGGAGCCGTCCGGTAGGATTCCACTGTTTGGATGACTTGAGTTGCTTCGTATTTTGTAAGCTGTTATCAAGTCACCACGTAATCTACGGTAGATTAGAGTGGAGTTCTAGATCTTTCAGCCTGTCCTCATAGGGTTTTCGCCTTATCCCCCAAGAAACTTTTTGTAGCTCGGCTTTGGACTTTTTCTGAGGTTCACATCTCTTTTCAGCTGTGGTGGTGCAGTGACGCTGTGGACTTCTAAATGAGGCCATATGCAGGTCTTGTACAGCTTTAAAAATAGTCCCGGAGTCAGGGCACCCAAATGTCTGCACATGAAGCGTAGTACTGCGCAGGCTCTGGAGGCATCTCCTGGATAATTGCAGCTAGTGTCTAGTCTATCAGTCGGTAGTAGTCCTAGGTCTTTCGCTGTGGTGGTGTTTGAAAGTTGTTCTGCACTGAGGGAATAGGCTACCTTCTGAGGGTCTTGGGTGCGGAGAAACATGACTCGGCACTTATCCAGATTAAATGCTAGCCCATTTATATCCACCCACTCTACAAGTAATCCGAGGTAACTTCGCAGTGCACCTGATTCTGTTTCGGACATCACAGCTCTCCACAACTTAACATTATCAGCGTAGGGGAGAATTGGGGAGCTAGGATTCAGTGAGAGGTCGTTAGCGGAAGGAAGGAATGTCAGTGGAGCCGGAATCGCCCCTTGTGATACGCCAGATGACGATGTCCTTCAAGTCGAGCAAACTCTGTTGGCTTTTGTGAGGAATTGTCTGCCGTCTAGATAGTCCTCCGACCACGAAAGCACTTGTCTCTTGATGCCCAACCTTACTACTTTGTGAATAAGAGTAGTATGTGGGACTGTGTCGAAGGCCTTAGCGAAGTCCAGGAAAATAACATGGACAGGACTCTGGAGGTCCCAGCATGCCGTCCACTTATCACCTGCCACCAGAATGTCTGAGGCACAGGGCCTCCCTTCACTGAAACCATGCTGAGCGTCACTAAGTGCTCCCCCCTTTTCTAAGTACTCCTGACGTGGCCGCCTACCAGACTCTCCATTACTTTTGACACCACTGGTGGAAGGGTTATGGGTCGTTAGCATTTTGGGTTCTGCCTATCTCCTCCTTTGAAGATGGGGGACAGAATAGCACTTTTCCACCCTTGTGGAGGCATGTGATTGTCTTGGGAGTGTTGAAACAGATTACACAGAGGACCGCACAAGGCACATGTACATTGTTTCAACACAGCCGGTAGGATGTCATCGCGCCCTGGTGATTTCCGTGGCGGAGCTTCGATAGCTTTTCGAGAACTATTGCAGGAGTTACCTTTATTCCAAGTAACTCTGCTGCATTTCGTGGTGCTGAATGCTGGTCGGACAGTTGGCAATTTCGGTTCCATGGGGACGTGCGCAGTTGCGCATCGAAGGTGGCGCGCAATCTCTAGTCCGGAGAAGTTCTCCCCGTCCAGGCTTCTAAGGACGCAAGTCCCCTGGCTGGTGTGTTTTCTGCCTGCCATAAACTGGCATGGGTTTTTGGGGTTCGCCTCGAGCTTCTGGGTAACGTTCACCTGGAACGACTTTCTGTCTCCCCTCACTTAGATTTTGCATCGATTTCTTAGGGCCACATGCGCGGTGTGGTAAGACTGTTTTCTGAAGGTCCTCCACCTGTGCCACGCTTCCTCTTGGCTTTCAAGGGGCATTCAGTGCCTCGTTTCAGCCATGAGGTTCGCTTCCGCTGTATTGCTGTGATTACAAGGACGTTTTCAGAGATAGCCATCTTGATGATATCTCTTGGTAGTTCCCAGTGTTGATCAGTCGAAAGGTTACCCCACTCCTGAGGCCATGGTACTATCCTTAGACACTGGTTCATTGCCATGTAGTTTGATTTGCTGTGGCAAATAAGACGACGAGATCCCTCCTATGGCAGTTGTTCATTGAATACAAGATCGAACACTGCCACACCGAGATCGCTGCTGGCAAGTGTGGTTTTAACCCAAGTATTTTCAGCCAGCAGGCAGTCGCTGGTAAAAAGGTGGTCAAGTTTGGACGGTTTCCTGCCTGATCCCCAGCGAGGGTCGTCACCAATATTCTCATGGAGTTCAGCCTTTTTGACAGTGTTGAGCAGTTTTCGGTTGAACATTCGGCCTGAGGTTACCCTGTCCTACCCGAGGTCGAGAGTTGCAGCATTAAAGTCTCCGGCTATAATGACCCGGTCAAATCCGATGGACGTCATCCCGGACATTACTTGCAGCAGTTATCGGTGATCTTCCACGTTGCACCTGGAGTTCTGTAAGCGCCTTCCACCAGGTACTTGGTGTGTCCAACCCTAAAGTGACACCAAATGGAGTCTGGGGGCCCTAAAGCAGAGTTTTAGTTGCTCGTTCACTTTTAAGGTCATCAGTGATAAAAACTGCCACTCCACCTCCTTCCTTAAACTCCCTGTCTCTCCTGAACAGACGCATACCGTCTATACTAGTTTCGACGTCACTAATATCCGTTGATGGCCAAGTTTCCGTTGGGATTACGATCGTTGCAGCAGGGCAGGAACAGAGAGATAGTAATCCCCCACCCTTCTTCCAAGTGCCCTCACATTACTGTAAAGACACTTGGATATGTTTCTAGCAACATAGGGTGTTATGCGCAATGGCAAAACTTCCCACAGGGCAGCCACCTCCAGTGGAACCGGCCCGATCACTTTTTTCCCACAATGGTTTCTGGGATTTTGTAGAGTCTAGGCAAGTTTGGATATCTTGCCTGTTGACAGTGATGGTGACTTCAGCGCTAGGTGGGGCCGTTGTTTTCTGTTGTCACAGTGTCCTGGGCCCGCCTTCGCAGCGGCGAACGTTCCCGCTGACGTTGTCTTTTACCGTGCACCAAGTTTGTAGTACTTTGGTTATGAGCTCTTGACAGACAAAGCCAATAGCCATCAACCTGGGTCACGTTATCGTCGCCAAATGTGAAAGACGTGGCAGTCCGCAGGCTGCCGCCACCGCTATCCCATTTGGCTCTGTCCTTGCTGATAACCGCTGCCGCTGCTGGAAGTCGTGAGCATACTTTTCTACGACCGTGCCAGTTGTTATTTCCGGTATGCCATGGACAACCATGGTTGCTGGTCTCAGCGTCTGGGGTGCCTCGGGAGGCGCTTTTCTCTCTGATCGCGGCCGGTCTGGCCTGGCCCTAATGCTGGATGACCGGTTTATGACTAGTGTATGTGAAAGCGGCAAGAGTCTTTCCGCTGCCTTGGTAGAGCTCAGGGTCACTCTCATCGGCGGCGACTTTCCCGGAGTGAGTAGCCACTTTTGTAGAGCCGTCACAGCTTTGCTCCTACGCTGCCCAGTTCTAGTACGGCGCATACGGTTTCCCGTCGCTGTTTGTCAAAAGATTCCCTGTGCTCGAGAGGGCTATCATGGCGCACGGGGACATTAAGTACGAGGATGGAATTCGATCTGTCATCATCTCTGTTTTCGTGTACTGTGGCTGGGTTTTTACGGGAAGGGTGCTTCTTTTCCACTATCACCCATTTTCCCTATGTGCAATGGAGATAGCCACTAAAGTTACTTCGAGGTTAGGGACTAATGTAGTTAGTCGCGTACCTGGTAGTCGTTCGGGTCTTTTTGGGCTGTTCGCCGGTGTGATTGTCCGGGTAACAGCGCTGGCACTCTTGTCTCTTGGACCTGAGGTAGTGGTCTGCGGGGTGCCGGCATTACAGTAGCCACTGCAATGCCGTTTACGACCTCCATCGGCGAGCCTGTAGAAAGGGGTGGCCTTGCACGGCACTGTGAGCGGATGTACCAGGACCACGCGCATGGGCAGAGTGACACGAAGGCGTAATAATCGTCCCGTATGTCCTCATCACACTGACTGTGTACCCACTTATTGCAGACGTTACATTGAAGGGCAGCATTCCTCTTGGCTACGATGAGACCACACATGTGACGGTCATCAGTCTGGCCAGAAGGTTCAGTCGAAGACTTTCCTTTGCTTTCGTTTATCAGTGGTAACCTACACAGGTAGACTAGGGTGTGGGTTGGTGGTACCAGAAAGACATGCTCTCCGATGAACTAAAGCACGGTGGTTCGGAGGGGCAGGAATTCGACTTTTCCCAGGAAGTGGCTGTTGCAACTGTCCTCCTGAGGTCGGCCCGTGATCTTTCGCGGCAGCACTAAGCCTCTTGACTCCGACCCTGTTTACTACCAAGGCTGGGGAGGTTACTAGCTGAGGCGGGGCTTACCTGAG